TTCTTGATAAAGTTCTAAATGGATTCTTATATGAATAAATAAATAACTTTGAAATATTTTAAGAACATTATTATACCTCCATTTGAGATCACTTTAAATTGAAAGTAAACAATTTAATTCGTCATGACTATAATTACTCGTACCTTGAACTCTTTTCGTAAATTATGTGCACAATATCTTTTTTTATTTTACGACTGTTATACGCAAATACCATTTTCAATTTACACTTTGGCAAAAAGGATGTTATGCGTTATTGGTGCAAAATGATATGTAAATATTTTATACTTGGTAATAACACTAACTGCGGTTCAATACTGTTGCTATAGCAATATCAAGAGAAATCAGTTATTTAACGATTTTATTTCTCTAAAAATACAAGTTGCCTTATTTAATTCTTTGTAACTGTATGAAAAACTTTTTATAAGATATCATTTCGCCGGTTTCCTTTTTTTCTGATTCAATACGAATAACTTACTTTTGATTACATTAAGACGATTTAAAAGATCATGAAGATAAAAAATGTAAATTCATTACGTTTGTTATGAATCAAAAGATAATATGTACGGTAATTATGTTTTATTTTGTGAAATATGTAATTTTATATACATAAACATAGTTTGACGCCATTTTGATCAAATTTTGTAATATCTTGTCATTCTTTTATTAAAAATACAAGAAATAGCACACGATTTATCTATAATTCTAAATTCCTAATACGAAAACTCACAAAATTCACGTTCCTTAAAACAATTTCGCGTTAGCGTAGGTATTTACTTTGTATTATGTATTTTCGATTTAAAAAAATGAGGCATAACAAGTAACTTCCTGAAATTCACAAGATTCGTTTAATTGAACCTATAGTAATATCAAAAATGGCTGCTCAACATATTACCTCACCCTTTTGGCCTCCATACACTTACTTTTTCTCAGATCGTGAATTTTTTTTAATAGCAAAAGAATGCGTTAATAATTAAATGCAATTTCATTATACACGCTTGTATTTAAACATGGTCGCTGAAGCGCGACGCCCCAGCGCGTTCATTGTCAAGGTCAAACTAACGCCGAACTGCGCATTGAGCTACACATAACATACAAAATACGAATACCTATGTGGCTATGTACACCAAAATGTTGATGTTCACCAAAATAAATTCCCATAGATGGCCTAGCAATTATGTAGCCTTATCATATAGGTATTTCGCGTTGAATTTATGATTATTTCTGTATATTTCCGATCGGTTCATAAATTTTCAATCGTCCATAATTGGTTCCAATAGCGTCGATGTGATTGGTGATTGATGTTTATCAAAATCAAATCGTAACCTTGACCGTTAATATCACGCTTTTTGCCATTACTAATGTTTTTATCAAACTCCACACCCTTACTTCCTTTGGAATGTTTTTACATTATCAATTCTACTTAGATTGAATCGAATAAGTACATTAAGAGCTATTTGAAAATAAATCAGACTATTAAATATTTTATTAATTGCTTATTAGATTCTTACTAGTTTTTGACCGTGACTTCGTCTGAGTGAATTTTGGTATTGGGATCAAAAAATATGTATAAAGATAGAAAATGCGTTAAATATGGAAATGAATCAGTATTGACGTGACTTCATATAGATATACTGTTATGTCTAGATCCTGTGGTAATTTCGTGGAATTATCTAATTGATTTTTTTATTTATATTGCTGTTCGCCCTACGGCTTTGCTACCGTCACCGTAGAATAATTCCTTGATAAATTATAGCCTATATTCTCATACTTGTGTTTAATCTACTTTATTGTAAAAATAATTCAAAACCGTCAAGTATTTTTTTCGTGCAAGAGTAACTAACATACATACATAGTCACAGTAGGATAGAAACAAAGCTGTGATAATTTTAAGAAAATATTTTTCTACAGCATTTATTTAATCTGGTCCGCCGACTTAAATGGCTAATGACCACAGGGAGCCATTTAATTATATAAAGCATATTAACACATGGCTAAGTCGCTGGCCAGTGAAAGCTGTTCGTTGAACTGTACTAATAGCTTCAAACTTGAAACATTTCACTGAGATCGCCATCTGGTTGGAGTAACGCCGGGCGACCAGCTATGTTAAAATGTAGTTCTGATATTCATTGGCTATCACAAATTTTATAACCGCCATAAAATCCGTAACATATTCTTGTCTAAAAGTTTTATCTCAATTGAATTGTTACGCCCTTAATAGCCCGTTTAGAAAGTAAGCTGTTAGCTGTTAGAGGTTACATATTAAAAAGTACTAGTTTTTGATTCGAACCATGAACATATTTACAAGTTTTAGAAAGCGGCTAGCGATGCAAAAAGCCCTTAGGCGTAGGTAATGTGGATTAAATTGTCATGTAGAAAACATCACTAAAAAGTTAGTCAAGCCAATAAGATGTTCCAAATTATTAATTTATACTATATTTATAATTATAACGGTTATATTTGCAACAGTTTGTTAGCACAGTAGCCACAACTTGTTCTATTTTCATTAATTTTTTTAATCGTCTGCTCTCGTTTTGCGCTGTTGCCGCTTGGTGACGAAAAAATGGCCAACGCGACATATACGCGTTATGTAATATAACACGTGGAGTGACAGACTTTAATACGAAGCATTATGATTAGGCGGGATTACAAATTAATATTATAAAAGTACTTATTTGATATTTTATCACTATAAAATCTTGATGATTGTGTAGTTATTGAAAAGTCATAGACCATAGACATATTTATAGGCATAAAGAATAAGTAAATATAGTTTTTGATAAATCATTTAAATTCTAAATTTACACGCAATTTATTGTCGGGTCAATAGTACAGGCGTGTTTGAGCGATGGACAAAATTTATAAACAGGAAGCTGCCAGACATTCGTGCGTGGGCGAGTCTCTAGCTTGATTGTAACAATCACTATTTTATTGCTCTTCGCCATATATCCTGTGTTGTATGTTTAATGTAACACTCGTGTTTGATAAACAAAAATGTTATACATTTATCACTGAAGCTTGATTGCGTTTCAAGGTATTCATTGCACAAGGAGACAGACAGCAAGGTTTTCAGAGATAGTACAGTTACCATCTAAGGTTGTCTCTACTTTGTTGTATAAGAAAAAGCACTAGTTTAGTCTTAGTCTAATAAGTATCAACAAATCTTTCAACTAAAAGGAAGTCAACAAATATGTTATACAGTTAAGGAAGGTGTCAATGAGGAAGACAATTAAAATATCGTTTACGTATTATGTAACTTTACTTGTATAGTAACTTACTTACTCAGTTCTTTTACTAGTAATTTAATCAAAACTTGACTTAAATTTCAGTGTTGCAATATATCAATATTTTCTAATAGTTAATATTAGTTAAATGTTAACATGACTGTTTTAATCGTATTCTGGCCTCAATTCGTAGTATTAAGTATAAATACTATGTAACAACAAAGAATGAAACGGAATTACGTCCAAAAGATAAGATAAACAAAAAGATATTAAATCATTAACGTTTAAAGGCCCCGAGTAGAAGGATCGCGTAACGTGGGCGCGCTCCCGTACAAACATATGCGCATACGCAGCGTTGGGTGCGGCTGGGCCATGCAGGTCGTTCACCCCGCTTTGTTTGCCAACTCAGATGCAGCCACGTCGCGCGTCAGAATAATATTTGTCGATGACATCGCCTGTCCCCAATAGATACAAAGGGCCTAGTCATTAGCACATCTTGGCTAGTTTTTTTATTCAAATTCAAATGTTATGTGCGGTGAAAACGTTACAACAATATACCAGAGAGCGCGGTGAGAGTTGTACATCGGCTTTTATTGTTTTCAGAATGCGTTGTTATGCAGAAATTTTATTCGAAAACCATACTCACAGAGATTTTGTGTGTAATGTAAAATAATATTAGGAAAATGTTAGAATGCTAAGTTTTTCTCCTATGTAAGAAGTAATCGTGATTTTCATTCGCATACACGCCATCTCGTGGGTATAGCCATCGTTCTGCTCGTTATGAATAATGCGTGTGGAAGTGAAAGTTGTAGTCTGTTTCCTTCGAACTCGGTAACCATAATAGATGAATCTGTTATAAATTGCGTGGAATAATATCACTATTTTTTACGTATGACTCACTGTTTTTTTGTCAACTTTTAAGATTTTCAATAAAAAACAAACAAAATCTTAGCAGAGATAAGATAGCGTGAGGTCATGCTTGATAATGAATGATTGAACAAGTCCAATGGATTACAGTAAGCATAAACAACAAAAAACCTCTAGAACTCTGTGACGTTTGTCAGATAAACGGGCTTTGAAATAAACAATAGTTGTCACAGGAAATTAAATGATAATTGGATTAGTGAAGAAAAAATATTACTAATAGAGAATCAAGGAAAGCCATAGTTTCGCAAATCTTCCGCCCTGCTATGTAATGACCTCGTAACATTTTCAATATTTTTTCGGCCTTTGAATTAATCCTTTTTGACTATATACATTTATATAATCATATATTATCTGTCTAAATTAGCTCATAAAAATATCTATGACAGATAAGTGTCAATAACAAATTAAATGCCAAAACTAAATAAGAACATGTGATTTCGATTAGCAAAATATTTATCATTCATGGAGGTTTCGATTGATCAAATAATTTCTCTGGATAACACCCTCAGTAAATCAACATGCCAGATAGTTATCAACTGGCTCGGTAAAATTCATACTTCCATAATAAGAGTACTATAAGATTCAATGCAGTATGAACTTAGAAAAATACGTTCCAGTAAAAGGCTAATCAAAGGAAATAGCTATATTGGAATTTGATCCATGGACGTTCGAACGGAAAATCTGTTGAATCCTACTAATATTATAATTGCGAAAGTTTGTGAGTGTGTGCATGTTTGTTACTTCTTCACGCTTAAACGACTGAATCGATTTTGACAAAATTTTGTATACAGGAAGCTGACGTCCAGGAATAACACATAGGCGATGATAAACAGGGTTGTTTGAACTAAATGTATGGTTGTTTTAGGTGTAGGTCGCGGTAGCAGTCAGTCCGGGAGCGAGCGTGAGTCAGATGAGGCTCCCCGGGGCGCGGAGTCGTCAGCGCCGGTCGCCATCCCTGACAGTGAGGACCTACAGCGACGCAAGGAAGAGGCCCGCAGGAAACGACGCAGGAAGAAGCGTTCCGGGAGCTCGGTCGTCACCTCGTGCTTCCAAGGTACTATAACCCATAGAAAATCATAGCAACTGGAACCATGTTCTCAAGCTACTATAACCCATACAGTCATATAGCAACTGGAACCATGTTTCCAAGCTCAGAGATTGAAGTCCTGGTCGTGTCAAGGGATTATTCTTTCAATATGCTCTGTGTGAATATCAATTAGATCCACTTATACCTAACGAGCTATTGTCTATGTATGAAAGTGTCGTTCGAATAGTCTTTATATTCAAATGACTAGTACGTATGTACTCGAGTAATTTCTAAACGGGTGCAACGAAAGCCTTTCGCTTGTAAGGCTTCAGCGACATGCGCGACTAAAATTAAAACAAAATCCCTCATGTTCATGACGCATGACGCATGGCTTTGGACAGTTTCATAATTTTCTTTTTTCTTACTGCTTAGTAATAAACTCATAACAGATACATGAATATTGTTTTGGAAACTATGTGTAATAAAGAATCTTCTCCAGGACATATAGTCCAATGATCCTACCAATGGTATTAAATGCAAAACGTTATGATTATCTATGGATGTTTCTTGCCAAGGGAAAGCTCTAAGTCTATAAGGCCATGTGAATTTATATATAATTTTTCGTTTACAGACCTATACAAGCTAACAGGGGAAGTATTAGGCGAGGGCGCGTACGCGTCTGTACAGACGTGCGTGAACATCTACACGGGCCAGGAGTTCGCTGTGAAGATTATAGACAAGGTGCCGGGTCACGCGCGCGCCCGGGTGTTCCGGGAGGTGGAGACCTTCCACTACTGCCAGGGACACCCCAACATAATCCAGCTCATAGAATTCTTTGAGGACACGGACAAGTTCTATCTTGTCTTCGAGAAGGTGAGATATTGACTTTTTTTATGTCAAAGGTACACCGTCGCCCATGGACATCCGCAACATGTTTGTTATGGATGCATTGCCAACCTTGTTTTTTTAGGAATAGGAAGAGGTGGGAATAAGGAAAAGGGCAACCTACGTCACTTGGTAGTACGTCAATAACTACGTCACAGTAGGGTAGATTTAAAAAGACGGCAATCGGTTATTCATAGAAATTTCATATGCTTAATACTCATACTTATAATTTTAATTACGTCTATACAAGGTTTTACAATAATAAGAAGAAGTATTAAAATAAAGTCGCGAAGTATAATCCGAAAATTATTAGGTAGGTATAATCGCGAAAATCTTATCTCATTAGTATAAAAATACTCTAAAAATTGTTAGATAAAAATAAGTTATCTACAAAAGAATTATAATATGAATAATATTAAAGCAATTTCGAGACATCAGAAATAGTCAAATTGCCTAGTAACTTGTATATTTCCATTAAAACAATGACTCAACTTGTACAAGTTTGAAACCGTTTAATAAAACAACTAAGTATATTTATATTAACCAATGAGTCGTAATTGTATGTTTTGGTATATGTTTAATATAAAACAATAGTTGCCAAAGAGACTTACACTTGTATAAATATGAATGGTGCTTTGTTTTCAATGATTTTAACAAACGCGGGATCATTGCTTTGTTAATAACTAAGGAATGTGAGATATGAATAGAAAAATAACAAACTTCAATAATGTAATCAGCGGGGTTATAAGTTATCTTTGAAGATTTGTTATTTATATAGTTATTGAAGTAAAATCTTTTTAAAGGTAACTATTAATATGACAGATTAAAAATTTAATTAGACTCAGAATCATAGACAAAACAAATTATAATGTATGACAAAAATATTACATAAACTATTTTTTAAACTAAAAAACATTAGTGTAATGTTGTGGAACTATTCTAAATAGTTAGTGGAATCGATTCAATGTATGTAGTATAATAAATGCTGTTCAATCAGGTTAAGACGGGTTAGAGAAGCCGGTTTGTAGTGACTTATATAGCGCATTGTAGCTAAGACCACTAGCAAGGCCAAGTTAGTGGGCGCTAGGCAAATAACGTGATCTGGCCTCTTATTAAACACATAACGTACTGTTGACGAATTATATTAGATTAAGAATTTTTAACGACTATATATTTTTGTTATTATACAATGATAAACCAAACTATGGTAATTTCTAAGAATGTACATATTCTGAATGTATATCTCGTCTGCCCGTGATCACGGTTGCTGTAAAGTGACGGAAACGTCGGGACTATGTAGTTTATAATCAAAATTAAAAATTGCGTAGAACATTCGAATAATATTAGTTTCATTTAAATGAACACTCGCGAAAATCTTAAATCTCATTATGTACATATACTAGTTGGGAAGTATTGGTGATGAAATATTAATGATGTATTTTATTCCTTATCAGATCAATGGCGGTCAGCTCCTATCGAGAATCCAGGAGCATCAATACTTCTCTGAACCGCAAGCTGCCGAGATCGTACGCGAGATAGCCAACGCTCTGCACTTCCTGCACGGCAAGGGCGTGGCGCACCGCGACCTCAAGCCGGAGAACATACTGTGCGTGCACCGCGACTCGCTCTGCCCCGTCAAGATATGTGACTTCGATCTCGGCAGCGGCATCAGCTTCACCTCCAGCCTCGCCAGCCCGTTGGCTACGCCGCAACTTATGACTCCGGTGAGCAAATACATAATAAACTCATACTACGATGAACTGTACATGATTCTATGTTCTTCTTCTTCCTGGTAATTTCCCACCTTTGGCCAGGTCTTACATGTTGTGTAGAGTTTTGGCTAATTTCTTTTCGACCGGCCGCCTGCCTGACATCAACCCTCTTTGGGAACCCTCTTTTAATCAGTGATGTCTAAATACTCTTAGAAAGTATATATGATTCGGCAAAAATCACATTGGTACTTGCTAGGTTCGAACCCGTGCCCTCGGCAACGAGAGGCGAGCCTTTTAACCACTAGGCCACCACTTACTTCATGATTCTATGTTCTGTTATGTTAAAAGGTCGTCATGGCCTAGTGGGTTAATGGCCAATATGATTTTTCTGAGTCATATATACTTTCTAAGTATTTAGACACCACTGAGAGACGGTGAAGGAAAACATCGTGAGGAAAACTGGACTTATAATTTCCAAATTATAAGTTTGCAATCGCCAACCCGTGTTGAGCGAGTGTGGTTATAATGCTCAAACCTTCTCCATGTGAGAAGAGACTTGCTCAGCAGTGGGCTCATATATTCTGGTGATGATGATGTTGTATTATTGTCAGGTTGGCAGTGCGGAGTTCATGGCGCCGGAGGTGGTGTCTCTGTTCGCGGGCTCGGCGGCCACTCACTACGACAAGCGCTGTGACCTGTGGTCGCTGGGCGTCATAGCGTATATTCTTCTCTGCGGCTACCCTCCCTTCCGCGCGGACTGCGGCTCGGACTGCGGCTGGGAGCGTGGGGACAACTGCCGGGCCTGTCAGGACCTACTGTTCACTTCTATACAGGTATTAATGACATACACAGTACAAACTCTGTTGTTGGTTATAAAGCGTACTGTTAGTATTATAAAGGGAAATATTGGGAGGGTGTATGGAGTTCTACTGATACTATTTAGATGAATATTTACTCTAAAGTCTAATGTTACTTAGATACTCGAAGGAGGTGTATTTTACTTAGAATTTTTCATGATATTCTGTGTAATTGATAAGCGATCCCGCTATAAATGTTATATTTTACATGAAGTCACGTAACGCAAACTTAATGTTGCCATATCTATTGCTTAATACATTTCCTTCCCTGCGCCGCAACTCTAAGTCGACGCGAACAAATCGCGGTCAAAAACTAGTAAACAATGAAATATTCAGTTTATTTTCTTTTCCGAACCGGTGGTAGTGTCTCAAGTGACCATCAATAAGAAAGTGTAATGCATGTAAAGTCTATATTGAATAAAGTTATTTGAGTTAGAGTTTGAATAGCGGTCTTAATATATAAAGTGTTTCGTCAACAGGAGGGTCGCTACACGTTCCCAGAGGAGGAGTGGGCTCACATCTCCAGCGAGGCCAAGGAGCTGATCGCTCAGCTGCTGGTCCGCGAGGCGTCTCACCGGCTCAGCGCCGAGCGTGTGTTGCAGCACCCCTGGCTGCGCCGCGCAGACCCCGCCGCCGGCAAGCAATCACGCAACTCCTTCCCTCCGCTGCGGACACCGCACAATATCAAGCGGTTAGTCTCATTAACTCTCAACTAGTGCTCTTATAAACAATTATTTTCTTACATTATATAGAATACTAGAAGACCCGGCGAACTTCGTATCGCCCTATAATCAAGAAATATCTGTTACGTTTTTTTATTTATATTTTTGGAGTTTACCTATTAAAGCCATATTTCCGTGTGCTGACAAATCTAATGTCAAAAAAAAAAGTTTCAATCAACAACTATTAATAAGTTAAAAATTAATAAAAAAAAAATTTTCAAGCGGACAAAATTGTGAATCTAAACCATTCCCAGATCCCCTTGAACACACACAAAAAATTTCATCAAAATCGGTCCAGTCGCTTGAGAGAAGTTCAGTGACATACACACTCTCAGAAGAATTATATTTATAAAGATATGATCAATGCGTGATGATTGATGATGATGATACATATATCGAATGTTGTTACAGGAACATGTCGGCTAGAAATCTCTCCAACTTCGCGGAGTCAGCGATGGCTGTGAACCGAGTGATCCAGCAGCACTTCTCCATGAACTACTCGTACATGGAGCGTCCGGCGGCGCTGCGCTGCAGCAAGTCGTGCCAGCCGAGCCCGGAGGCGGTGGCTAGTATACTGGAGGACGAGCTGGAGCGCGCCGCCGGCTGCTGCCCACCGCTGGGACTCTCCCCACCCACAGACTCGCAGCTGCTGCGCCGACGCCTCGCCACCGCCGAGCCGCTGCCAGTACACTAGCGGCAACCCCCCCTCCCCCCTCCCTCCTGTACCGACGGGCATCCCTCCAGTGATACATCCGATCGCAATTTTTATGTGAACGGTACTCGTAGCTGTAACAGTTTTTATTTGAGCCTTTTTTTAAATATATATATATATTTTTATGAATAAATAAAAACGACTGAATAGTTTTTATCGAGATGTAGATGTATTTGTGAGTTTATTTCGAATCGGCCGGTCGCCGCGACCGACGTCGGTCGTTAAAATCGTATTATCTGAGATAGTTGTGCCGATCTACGAACTTTGTTACGATTACAGATTTAGAAAAGATATATATTATTTTTGGATTTATGAAATCCGTTATTTTGAAATTGAGCTTATTCGTATGATTGCATTTTGTTCATGGCCTATTCCTTTGCAATAAAAATGTTGTTACTTTCGATAACGTTTTCGGATACTAGTCTGTTATGTGATTGTTTTTTTTGCATTTTTTTTGCACCAACAAAGGTTAAAGCCCACATCTCATTAATTAAGAATAAATTTTAATTGAAATGAATTACTATCGATGTGTGAGAGTCGGGATTGTATGTGACATTAGCTGAGGGGTTCGAGTGTAGACGTGTATGCGCATAATTACAAATCATGAATGAAATTCGCTTTGTATTGTATCGTGTAGGAAGGGCACTCGTGAAGTCGCCGGTTGTATGAGATGTCATATATTCGGTCCGAACTATGTATTGGTTAAGTGTTGCATGGGGTTCCATGGAGCTGCCATAAAATTGTGATCAGTTTGAATACTTTTATATTGCTGAAGAATGAAATGTTATGATAATGTTAAGTGTAGACTTGCTAGCCTTAAAACCTGCGGATGCGTTGATTGGAAAAAGGTACACGCAGCGCCAATACAGATTAGATTGGCCGTTATGTTAATTTGTTTCATAAATTTTATATTTTTAATTCATATAAATTACAAATCTAATTTATTCTTTACTATGGTGGCTTTATCCAATCAATCTGAGACTCGTCGCAGTACTTTGTTAAAATTTTGTTTTCGACCTAATCATTGATTTGAACTGTCACTTGAAATACAGATGTTTGAATTTTCATTATTTCTATTTATTTTTGAATCCTTTACATTTCCTTATTTTTATATACAAACTAAACAAATAGATAAATAGTTAAGTTATCAAACAGATCTATATTTTTTTTAAAGATCTGAAAAGACGACAACAGGAAAAAATATTTAAATAAAAAAAAACCTTTTATATATTTTCATAATATTTATTACATAATGTGAAGTTTGACAACTTTTGAATACAGAGGTTACATCCATTCTATTTCAAGATTGGTTAACATTCTATGGAATTCTAACTTGTAATATTTTCCATATCTTGAATGTAAAATATTTTTAGAATCTGAGACTCTTTTTGAGAGAGATTAATCTTACGATATTTTATAGTAACGTTTATTACATTATTGTCTAACTTATTGGGACCATTTAATTGATTACAAAAAAATATATATTTTGATACACAATTTATTGATCAATAGCATAATTTTCTAAATGAAGATCTATATATTAGTTAATGATATTAATTCAACGCTTTAGATCATCTCTAATGTACATGCGGATCATTTGTTCAAAACTTTCATCCGCTATGAAGCCCATGCCAAGTGCTCGTGTGTTATCAAATATATTCGGAAAACTGCCAACGATTCGCGCGATCAGTTCGTTGTGCTCAAAGCGAATAAGTGACGTTGCTTTATCGCCTGCCACAGTATGCAGCGCTTTTATCATTTCATCAACCGAAACACTTATTCCTGGTAAGTTTATAACACGCCAAGGACCCAAAACATTCTGCGGCAGAGTAGCGGCGTGAATAATATTTCTAATCACCGTATTCGGGCTAGACAACCACAGTTTAAGATCCCTATCCACTGGACAAATGCTCTCTAATCCATTTAAGGGTTCTCTTATTATTCCACTTGCGAATGCAGTGACCGCTTTATTCGCCACTCCTGCCCTTACACTGACTGTTGGAAGGCGTACAATACGAGCATCCACGAAACCCCGACGTCCGTAATCATTCAGCAATAATTCACACATAGCTTTTTGAGAACCATATGAATTCTGAGGAGTAACGGCAGTTAGGTCATCTATGATTGGTGGCAAATTTCCACCGAACACTCCAACCGTACTTGTAAATATGAAACGTAGATATGGGACTTGGTGGCGGGCTGCATCAGCGAGAGCACGGGTTGCGTCGAAATTTACACTTAAACCGAGATCGAAGTCTGCTTCTGCATGACCACTGACTATTGCTGCAAGATGAAACAATATGTGAACATCTGGCTTAATAATAAGATTTGCAGCTGAAGGTTGGCTTAAATCAATAGCCACGGTAGATACTCTGGGATCGGAGTGCGGTTGTGGACGCACGACATCTGCTAACAACAGTTTGGCCACAGGAACTGCTGAATTTTCTGAAAGTAGTGCTTCCGTTAGTCGGGAGCCTAAAAATCCCGACGCACCAGTTATAACTACGTTCATCTTGTATTATTTTTATTTGTGACACTAATAAAAATATATAAATACACCTATTATTGAACTTAAACGTTTTGCAAATGATCACTCCACATCCCACCAGGTCAAAGGTGAACATCACAATACTAAACAAAGAGATAACATGTTATTATGATAAACAATGAAAAATATTTTTACTTGAGATTCATTACAATATACAGAATTAATAAGTAAGAAAAATTTTCTTAACTCAGAGTATGTTCAAAGTATCTGTCGCATTACTTATTAGGTAGTTAATGGAAAGGGATACGAACAAATATGAACATTATTAAACAAGTGTGGATATAAATGTATTTGGTTCATAATTTTAGTATTCTGACTTATATCTTGCATTTTTTTTTCATCTTTGTATAGAACCAACTCAAATAACTTGAAATTATATTGTCTACCTCTACAAGGACTCTTTTTTAATACTTCTTTGTTAGTTATACCTAAATCAAAAAAGAAAGCATTTGTGTATTTCGCTTCAAATATATAAAACATTTGGGTGAAACTTTGTGTAATATATCCAAATAATTTGTACATTTAGCCTCATATTCCCTAATTTATATATTTCTCATAGACGATTACAGTAAATTCTTAAACAGAAAAGCTTGAGATTGTTCTTAGTATTATTTAATACAAAAATAATATGGTGACCTTGAGTATATTTAGAAATTTGTTTTGAAAGAAAACAAGAATTTTGATAATAAATTATAATATTAAATGTCCTCACTAATTTAAAAGGAATCTTTCGAAATCAAAAAAGCGACGTTATGTTTATTAACAATTTTTATTATAACATATTAATTCATTTGTTGTAATTATTAGGAGGAGAATTATATTCAACAGGTAATTCTTCGTTTTGTCAAATTTGACACTGGTATGTTTTGGAGGTCACCTTGAGGTTACTGTCAAAGCGGTGATAAAGCGGCAATGATTAAAACTATATTTATTTTGATACTGTAAGACGTGAGACGAGGTTTAACTGTAAAGAAACTACCTACTGGTTTATTGATAACTCAGTACGCTTGTTTCTCTCTTTAATGATTTGCCATTAAGGTAAAGGCACAGTGTGAGTAACTTTTAATATTTTTTAAATAAAGCTATTTATATTAATGATGTGACACTAAAATTTTTGTTACTTTTACTTAAAATTATTGACCCAAATACCTAAATTACTGTATATTGTATTGACTGTTTTAGAGAATATGAAGTAAATACTTTTAATATCTTATTCTGCTACTTTTTTATTATATACTTCCTTGACTTCGTTACTAAATAATTTAAACAATTTGCATTTGTCTACCCATAGTTATAAATTTACTAACAATACAATTTTAAGGAGTATTTATATAATATATTAGACTGATTAAAATCTTACACAAAGAAATTGTCATTTATAACTCAGTATCAATATTTTCCGATTAAACATTTCAATGGAATTCAATTTTCATTGAACTGTTGCATTCACAATGGAATTAATTCCAGTACCATATACCACAGTACTTGACTCAACTTGTGTAAAGTTATACATTTTATTTTGCGATTCATACTATGATATTTTGTTGTATATCTCGTCAACTATCACTGTTCAAATGTTCAAAGGTATATATTAATATTTTATATTATTCATTAATAATTTTATTTATTCAGCATTTTATTATAATGTAATGTAATAATTTTTGTTAGGTGAAATATAATTTTCTGTGAAAAATTAAGAGTTGTTTTGTTTATTAGGTAGATAATTACTTTCTTCGCTGCATACAATACTGTGTGGTGTTAAAGCAAAGCTACTGTGGTATCAAAGTAACACAGGAAAATAATAAGGGTTTGCAGGGACATGTTATATTCTAATATGTATGTACAATGATTATTTGGTTATTCATTTAATTTAAGACTTAAAATTTGGGGCTAAGAATGTTATTATCTCCAAAATTTGTATCATATTATTTTACTATAGTTATAATACTTACTGTGTTAATAATTCTTAATTAGTTGAAAGTAGAAAACTATACATAACAACAGTAGGACTCGGAGTAACAAACAATGGGCTATGGTTCAGTTACTGCTTTGTCTCAAATGTTCCCTTTATACTATTATGTTTTACAAAGGTCTGTAATTGTATATGGGTTCAGAAGTGTACGGCGCGGTTTTATAAGTAGTTAGGGCTCTGCCCCGCGACTGCACTTGGCGGTCGACATCCGACGGAGGAAGATGCTCGCAAAAGAGAAGACCGAGTACGCGAGGAAGGCGGAAAAAATCGCCATCGAAAAGGTTACGGCCGACAGATGGACCCAATACTAGAATTCATACATCACTTATTGGACAGAGTTTGTCAATTTTTTTTGCACGTCATCACGAGTGTGTTCGTTGTGCGTATGATATTGTATCGAATATCAGAATGTATCCATTGTCCTGATGAAAGTATTATTATGTTCCAGCATTAACATGTTTGATGTATGGAAAGTAAAGTATAAATTTATGGTGATAGAGGCAGATGGCAGTGGAGAGTCGCGAGGCGGAGGGGGGGTCAGCGGCCGAGGCGGGCAGGGAGGGGGCGGGGGAGGGGCAGGTCGTCCGCGCGATCACGCTTAACCATGGAGAACATCAAGACGCTACGCTATATAGGTAAAAAACTTTAGAATTTCTAAATATGTATAAGTACTCGTATATAGTATAATAATCATTTAACATTTAATTTTATTATTTTTATTGAAGAGTTTGTAAATGTAATTTGTTTGATTCGTGAGAGTGGAATTAATTAGTATATTTGTCATTTTGTTTTAGATTTGAAAAAGGATGCCGTTTACAATTCAGCCCCGGTCCGAGCATGCTCGGTCGAAAGGTGTTCCTGTACACTAATTATGTCGTATCAGACAGTTGTAAGTAATAGCTCCATCAACAAACATATGTAAGAAAATAAATCATATCAAAATTATAAATAACAAAGTTTATATATGGATTTGGACAAAACAATAACTCATGAGACATAATTTGCATAGTAATAAACCAGTTGTAATATGTATAAAATCACATGACACAGACGATAGATGTCGCTGACGTTTGATTAACAAATTATGAAGAAAGTATCGCGGACGAAATCACGGACAAAAACTAGTTTTAATATAAGATAATATATTAGCGGAAGACAAAAGCGAGCCTGCGTTCGTACGCAACCAGTACTATGGTCTCGAGTGGAGGAAGGATGAAGACTCCGAATCTCTTGGTACCGGCCTTCTGATCACTGACACGGAGTTCTACTGCGAACTGAGGCTGGCTAAGGCTGGCTCATTCCACTACTACTTCGTGTATGACAGCCCGTAAGTAGCACCATCATATGTAATATTACGACCATTATTGATAGACCTCTCCCAGATTTTAATATATATTTCGAATGATTCACTTTTAGTATCAGATATTCACTTTATGGCTGCAAGATATTTATTACATAGGAAGCCAACATAATGTACAATGATCTAATTTTTTTTAAATTAAAAGTTTAACAATATAGAATATGTAGTTACAAAGTACACTACAATTATTATTATAGGCTAACTCAGCACGCACAAACAAATCACATCTCAACAAATGGTTAAAAAATAGAAAAATAAGGAAAAACTATTATATGCATAAAAATATCGTTACTAAACTTTTGTAAATATAAAATAAAACATTCACTTAAGCTAAATAAAAACACTAAAAAAACAAAAATAACGCTATGATTATTTATTTATTTATTTATTTTAATAGGAAGCCAACATAATGTACAATGATCTTACAAAGTACACTACAGTTAAAGGCTAACTCAGCATGCATTCACAAAAAAGAAAAAAAATATATATATACACATATATAACAAAGCAACATATCAAGTAACAAATAACATAAAATAAAGTAGAAAAATCCATGAAATCCTTTTACTAAAGCGTTAGCCGTAAAATTCGTTCTTAATACTGTGAATTTTTTTGAATTGTCTTCTTCACAAGCCCATGGAATGGATGGGATATTAAAATCACCAATTACCAATGTAAACCTTTGTTTGATAATCACTTTAACGACGTTTTGTATGAAAACATCCAGAGTTTCACATATTAGTGGTGATGGAATATATACTGCGTATAATGATATAGTAGAATTTCCAATTAATATATTAACCCATAGATCCTCAATTTTAGTTTCCCAAGTGGTTATGCGATAGCTATTAAATTTTTTTTGTGACCGCTATTAATACTCCCCCACCATCCAATTTAGATGTATTACTTGATTCTCTGTCTCGTCTATATACATTGTATCTATTATCGATAAATTCATTATTGTATACACTTTTATTTAACCAAGATTATAACATCAAAATCCGTATTCAGTAAAGAATTGTAAATTTCATTTGTTTTAGTCCTTATACATCTTACGTTCTGATAAAAAAACTTTCAATATATTAACCATAAAAGAAAAAAAAACTTAATACTAAAATAGATATAAAAAAACTAAACAAATCAAAACAAGAGATATAAACAAAAACTAAAGGTATTAAAAAACAACTAAACAAAACAAAATAAAAGATACAAAAAAAACTAAGGATATTAAAAAAAAGCCATTGTAAACAAAACCAAAAAAAAAAACAGAACAATATAATAATAATATATACGTATAATTTAGTATACAACTAATCTAAAGTTTTTAAAAATTCTTTTGATTTCACGCGTATTACGTCGCTTTCAATAGATTTCCTCAAAAATATATTTCCGTTTCGGGACCAAACAAAACGATAATGTTTTTCTTTTGCAAATTTTCGAGATGCAGCGTATATATCTTTGGAGGTTCTTGTAAGATTTTCGGAAATATATACTGGTAATTTTTCTCCCGATATTCCTAAATGTGAAGTATTTAATTTGTTATTAGAATTACTTTTATTGAAGTTTATCACACCTGCTAAGAAACGATCGCGCAGAATAGGCGTTGAAAATTTAACCAGTACTGTTCGAGGACGGGTAGAATTTTTATTTAATTTAGCCAATCTTGTGCATTTAGTTATACATCCTTCTAAAATTGGTAAATTTATCGTCTGGCCTATTTGTTCTACTGTTTTAAGTAGATTTTCATTTTTAAATTCTGGTATGCAATGTAATTCTACGTTATTTGCTCTTGTTTCTTTCTCTAGTAAGTTAATCGTACTGTTATGAGACTCGATTATTTCTCTTAATTCATTATTAGATTTCTTGAGAGTACAAATTTCTGTTTTTGCTTCATCTAATTCTTGTTTCATTGTATCATACAGATTCGAGAAAAATTCCATGGACTCTTTAATAGCTTGGAGTCCACTTAATTCCTCTCTAATTTTCTTTAATTCCGCACTTACCGTTTGAGTTATTATGGTTTGAACTTCGTTTCTGATCGCTAATAAGATATCGCCATTATTAACGGCAGCATCACCTTGCAATCCAGTTAAGGAATGAGATATGGTAGTTTTCGATGGTACAAATGAAACTATATTATTCTCCGTACTGCTTTGTTTATTAGTTGGCGTATTTCTGTTGCTACCTCCTTTACGCGTGTTTGGTACACAAGATGGACACATCCAATTTGCTCGTGATATTGTGCAGTTATTATTCAAAGACACACATTCCACATGAAGTAGTAATTGACATTTGTTACATTTAATTCTTTTCTGTGTTACTAACACAGTATTTTTACAGATTGAACATTCATTTGTCATTTTGTATATTATTAAATATTGAAAAAAAATTCACATTCGCTCGGGATCGATCCCTGACACCGAGCGCTTAAGACCGGACTTCAAACCATTGGACCAAGTAGTAGTTGAGTATCGAGTTGAATTATCAGTATCAGTTCATATTACGCCGTGAAAATAATAACTTCACAAAGTGGGTAAAGTGATTTGTTGCTGTTAATCAACACTTTCACTATATGTTTTTCACTGTTTTTAACACCTTTAAAATTAAATTTAAGATGTTTATTTTACTTTGAAATTGTCATTTTACACTTGATACATAATTTTTTACAATTATTACAATTTAATAGCGAAACGAAAATTATTTGTAAACGGAGCAAAACAACTTGACGTTCATTCGGCGCGCGCGCGTATGTGTTTTATAAAAAACTGTCTAATAAAGTATATGCTTATCTAATAGATATATCAAATACACAGTTTTTCTATATTTCCTCAGCGAGTCCCGCGTGGGTCCTCAAGGCTCGGGCTGGTTCCACGTAGCTCCAACACTTTCCGCGGGAGGAGTTCAAGTTCCGCTGGACGGCGTCATGTGTCAGACGGTGCTAGCCAAAAGTTTAGGACCCCTGCCTCGGTGGATGAAAACCCTGAGAGTGGCTCATGAAGCTGGTTTTAATATGATACACTTCACTCCCGTTCAGGTTAACTGACAGTTATTCCTACTAATATTATAAATGCGAAAGTAACTCTGTCTGTCTGTTACGCTTTCACGCCTAAACCACTGAACTGATTTTAATGTTATTTGGTACAGAGATAGAGTAGACATTGAAAAAGAACATAGGATAGTTTTTATCCCAACTTTGAAAGGCGAAGCTGCGGGCGGAAAGCTAGTAGAATATAATTGTAATATAGACTATTCTAGTTCTAGACTATTCTAATTCTAGTATAGACTTCAATACAAGTATTATAACTATTAATGATTTTAATACAAGCTATATGTAGACCTTGTTGATTTTCTTGTTGATTTTCTTAGGCCACTAGTTTATGTGTTATATTTAAAATGCTAAAATTGTTACGTTTAATTAAAGTTATTTCAATTTATGATATCACAAAACAAGATGAGTCTGTCTCTGTTATTATCTATAAGTATATTAAAGATACTTATACTATAACGTTATAGTTAAAAAATATACACTAAAAAGCAATCATAAACCTATGTTTTTATTCCCATATTTCAGGAGTTGGGTGCATCTAATTCAAGCTACAGCCTAGCAAATCAGCTTAAACTGAACCCTCGTTTTAACGACATTAATTCTGGCAGGGATGCCACCTTTGCGGACGTGGAAAACATCATCGCTAAAATACGCAACGACTGGAAGGTTACCATAATATATAAAACGTTAAATAACCTATCTATAGTTTAATATCACATACAATAAATTAAATCCAATACAACAATCCCTACTAATATTATAAATGCGAAAGTATTTCTGCCTGTCTGTTACGCTTTCACGCCTAAACCACTGAACTGATTTTAATGAAATTTGGTACAGACCTATGTCTGTTGACCTTGAGAAAGAACAGGATAGTTTTTATCCCAGACTTTTGAAAGGTTCTCTTGGTAACGCGATATAACCGAACTCCACGCGGACGAAGCTGCGGGCGGAAAGCTAGTTGTATATACGTCTGTATATTGTGGTATTAGAATATACAGGGTGTTCATATGTATATGTGTGTCAATGTTTATATAGATGCTGTCTATATGTGACGTCGTGTTGAACCACACGGCAAATGAGAGTGAGTGGCTGACGTCACATCCGGAAGCCACTTATAACTGCATCACATGCCCTCACTTGAGACCCGCCGCCCTACTTGATGCTGTACTGGCTAAGTTGGGGGAAGACATCGCAGCGGGGCGGGAAACACGCCTGCCCACTAAGATTAACACACATCAACAAATTGAGGTAAGCGTATATGAAATAATATATACCTGAGAAACTCTCAATGAAGTATCATCAATATTGGTTCAGCCATTCTTGTATACAGGACGATTCAGAGAGGCTTATTTAATCATTACTAATCTCTCATATAGTTCTAGCGTAAAGTGGATAGTAGAGCGACTTTATACAAGTAGTGAAATTGTCTAAAACAATAGTTCTCTTTTTATTAGTCTAATTCCATGATTTCATTTCCATATTCCTATAGACTTTTGACCTGAAATTACTTCAGCTATACCTTTAAAATATACGTGATAAACATATACATAAATCAAAAAGTATTACTCACTGAGAATAGGTTCGTCATAAATTTGTACGCGGTAGAAGTGTAACAGCTGAATCTCTGTACACCCTACTAAAAGACTTGGGCCTGTACATAACTCACATTAATTCATTCTTAGAACGTACTTCAAAGGCAGCCCTAGTAGGTTCGTTTCAAATTTGGTAGTGAGAGGAGCTTGAACAGTAGAGGTGAGCGTTTAACGCGTTAGATAGGGTCTCTTAAACCTACACCTGGGTCACAAGTCCCAGTCACTGTTGAAGCTCCTCTCACAACAACGATGGACCCGACATCCGTATAATGAATACATGGAATGATGAGAAATTTCATCTCATATGTGTTATTTTCATATATATTTGTATATATTGTTCACAGATCATCCGTGACATCCTATTAAACGAGCGTCTGCCAGAAGCGAAGCTGCACGAGATGTTCATCTGTAACGTGGACGAGATGGTCGACCGGTTCTATCACATGGCCAGGAATAAGTTAGTACATTATTATATTTATATATTCAACTGATGATATACAAGAAACATTGATCTTGAAACAGGACTCGAACCTGAGACCTCTAGAATATGTATCAGAGCATAGATTTTAATTGTTAAGCTATGCGTTATTGATGATATTTAACTATTATGATAATACAACAAAGCCTTATATATGAATTGTATACTTTAATTCTATTAATATAATCTCATGTTAGCTGAAAAAAAAACTATGTATTAAGGATGTTTGCAGTACTTTCACGTTAAAAAAAACATGTCCAGTACATGTAGTAAACATTATTTATTTCTTGTATAGAATATCATACACTATAATCGAATCATCCGTATATTATGTAATAACATAGATAAAATTCCTACTAATATTATAAATGCGAAGGTAGCTCTGTCTGTCTGTCTGTTACGCTTTCACGCCTAAACCACTGAACTGATTTTAATGAAATTTGGTACAGACATAAATTGACCTTGAGAAAGAACATAGGATAGTTTTTATCCCAGACTTTTGGAAGGTTCTCTTGGAAACGCGATATAACCGAAATCCACGTGGGCGAAGCTGCGGGCGGACAGCTAGTAATATAATAATAAATGAAAACTATTTATTAATATTTCATCACTAGAGTGCCTCCAGTGAAGAGTGCTGATAATTCATCGGAACTTCGTCTCATCACGGATCCTCAGAGGCGTAGGAAGGCAGCCCTTGTAGATCTAGACCGGGCGCTACAGATGTACAACGTGTACAGGTGAAGCATCATTCATTCATTCCTTCATTCATTCATTCATTCATTCAGCATTCGTTGTATACATCCTAGATTCGATAGCTTCTACTAAGTGCCATTACAATAAGTTTGCAATGAAAACTATATAAGGAGCGTTTAAAGTCTGCTTCATAAATCTTCGTATATCTAATGACAGTCATGCACTGTTTCGTTCTAATTATAATAATAATTATGTAAAAAAGAAAGTTTTGTAAGGCTCTAAACACACTTCCCATTTATATGTGTAGTATATTTTAATATTAGTTCATGTCCATTACTCTAAACCGGTATCTGATTCATCAATGAAAAGGTTTTGGTTTTATATTCAATGCTTCTCAGCTTTATATCGTTTAACCTGACAAACATGGGTTAATAATATTAAATGGAACATTTCCAACTATATATATAATTTTCTTATTTTTTGTTATAATCCAGATCAGACTGCTACGACGAGGACAGTCGTGTGAAGCGTTGCTGCGAGGAGTTCCGTGTGAAGTTAGAACAGTTGAACGAGGCCGCCACTCACACCGTCAACGAACAACTGCGGGCCGCCGTGCAGAACTGTGTAGCGGGGATGAGGTGCGGACTTACACATACACACACATACCCACACGTACACACATAAAAAATGCCATTTCTGTAGGCATGATGCAACAATTTTATTATATAAGTCTAGTTAAACAGACTACACATTTTGCTCTAAGCAAATTTTTGTAGTTCCTAGCAGTGGCGGCTGGTGGGTAATAGAACTGGTGGTGCACTTTACTAAAATATAAAAATTAGAAAATGCAACAAAACATAACGAAATGTCAAAAACGGCTCAATTCGTCATACATCGGTTACTCTCGGTAATCCTCGGCCGCTCGTGCGGCGCTCGAGAACCGACTCATGACACGGTACATTTCTATGAACTATCTTTTGTTTCACGCGCCACGCGTATTAATTCGTGTCTCATACAAAATGTATTGGCAGTCCTCGTGCACTCACCGAAGCGCACGATATGAGTTTAGTAAAGCGCTCAAACTTTTTGACCATAATTAGGAAATTTAATTGTTTATACGTTTTTGTATGTTTAAAAAATAAATATTAAAATGTTAATTTAAAAATAAAGATTAAGTATGTAATATTTTGTAATTTTTAAATCTTTTGAATTGGTGGTTCAGAACACGAGTGCACTTAAGGTACAGCCGCCACTGGTTCCTAGAATAGAGTCGCGGGCAATAGCTAGTAATTTATAAACTACTGAATAGAAGGACCAATAGGCCAGAAGTATTGAGAGGATAATATAAAATAGAAATTGTATATATCATTTAACTTATAGTGACTATTTTATATATAAAATGAATATTAATAATTTCAGTTACTTCCGTCTTCAGTCAGACGGCCCTAAGATAGAGGAAGTCAGCGAAAAGAATCCTCTCGTACCAAGGTAACAAAACACAAACATGTATACAAACTTTATATTACATTTACTATTTAATATCAATAAATAATATTAACATTTTTGCTGTTTTATATAGTATATTTTCTATCAAAATGATTATTAAATTTTAATTTGATCCAACTCCAAGAAAACTACAAAGCTTTCGCTCATACATAACTCAAGCAGTACTGATTTTGTATCCCTACTATAATATTATAAATGCGAAAGTAACTCTGTCTGTCTGTTACGATTTCACTCCTAAACCACTGAACTGATTTTAATGAAATTTGGTACAGATATAGAGTTGACCTTGAGAAAGAACATAGGATAGTTTTTATCCCAGACTTTAGAAAGGTTCTCTTGGCAACGGGATATAACTGAATTCCACGCGGAAAGCTAGTATTACATAAATAAATATTCAAGAAGTAAAATTACCCATAATAAATATCCACTTATAAGTGTTTAGACTACGTAATATATGAACTTTTTCAGATATTTCACGTTTCCTGGTCCATTGGGTAGTATCTCAGACATGGAATCTGTCATATACGGCGAGGCAGGCCGGCTAGTGATGGCCCACAACGGCTGGGTTATGAACTCCGACCCGCTGCAAGACTTCGCTGACAAGAAACACGACGGTCGAGTGTACTTCAGGAGAGAACTCATCGCTTGGGGAGATAGTGTTAAACTGAGGTGGATGTTATATGTTTTTTTTATATATTATATTATTAAGAGCATCTCATATTGCACAATTATTACCTGCTGTACACATTAACTCTTACAGCTGTGGGTTGGCTGGAAGAAATTTCTTTTAGAAATAAGCTCGCCTTTGTGAACAATATTTCTGTATGTAAAATAACCATGTAAATTTTTAAAGTGCAATAAAGAGTATATGTATGATGTTATGGCACTTGCTATTTATACTTGGAAATGGTAGGGGTGGGGATGGAATAAAATATCGTTGTATGTCATTTGGACAGTGTTATAACTGGAAGTTCAATGGCGTTTGGAGAAGATCTTATAAACGTTTTCTGCGCTCTGAAAATTTATTTTATTTTTTCTGATTATTTAAATATTTTGTTTGTTAATAATAAATGTAGTGTCCAATGTATTAACTAATTATTCGTATACTCCGTATTCATTATTGCATTCTATAATCTTATCATATATAGTAAGTAAGTATATAAATGCAAAAGTTTAGAATATGTATTTGCGTTTTTTGCTCTTCACATGTAAATTACTTAACAATTCTGATGAAACATTCCAGTAGTTTATATCAGATACCAGATTAACATATCTATACTAATATTATAAAGCTGAAGAGTTTGTTTGTTTGTTTGAAAGCGCTAATCTCCAAAACTAATGGTTCGAATTGAATAATTCTTTTTGTGTTGGATAGTCCAGTTATCGAGGAAGGCTGTAGGCTATATAACATCACGCTACGACCAATAGGAGCAAAGATATAGAGGTAAATGTGTAAAAAACGGGAGAAATTATTTCATCTTTGAAGCCTTCCGTTGCGTGCGCCGTGAAAACGGTTTAAGATACACAAAAAATATGTATTAAAGAATAATAGCTCTTTTAATGTTCTTAAAAACAGTCCAAGACAGTACATGTCTATCTTTTAAGATTAACTCACAAAAATCGTTTTTATGGTACCTAATTTGGTCGAAATAATTTGTTTAAGTTGTATCAATATAATAATATTAATATTTATTCACCATTCCGAAAACCCCACAAGAACGGGAACTATGTGGGAAGAACCAAAAATCTGCCATAAGTCACTATTCCACGCGGACGGAGTCGCGGCAAAAGCTAGTAGTCTATAATTTACACCAAAATTGGGTGCAATTCAAAAGGGAACAGGAATTAAAAATTTTATTTTGTATGGAGTCACATGACCTTAACTGTTATCACATGACTGTTATGTCGTTGCAAGTTACCATTTGTTATTTTTTGTCACACAATAAGTTATCCCTATAAATAATTCATCCACGCGGATGAAGCTCTAGTCAGAATCTATAATATATACAGTTTGTATGAATTTACATGACTATTTATATCTTTGCTAGTTACCATATATTCTATTTAGGCAAATAATATTTTCTTCCTACAAATAATTCATCCACGCGGATAAATCTCTAGTCAGAATCTATACTATATACAGGGTGTTCTTTATTCCAGGTACGGTGAAAAGCCTGAAGACAGTCCGTTCCTGTGGCGCCACATGCGGCAGTACGTGGAACTAACAGCAGAAGTCTTCGATGGAGTTAGGCTTGACAACTGTCACTCCACGCCGTTACATGTGCGTTATAAATATATAGTAAATGTATTTAGAAAAAATCCTCATTTCAAACACTCTAAATAAACCTTCACCGTCAGTGGTGGCTTAGAGGTTAAAAGGTCCGCGTCTCGTGCATGAGGGCGCGGGTTCGAAGCCTGACAAATACAAATGTGATTTTACCGAGTCATATGTACATTCGAACAGTATTTAGACACCACTGACAGACGGCGAAGGAAATATCGTGAGGTAATCTGGACTTATAATTTCAAATTATAAGTTTGAAATCACCAACCCGTCTTGAACGAGCGTGGTGATTAATGCTAAAACCTTCTCCATGTGAGAAGAGGCCTTTGCTCAACAGTGGGCTCTGATAGGCCGATGATAATGAAATTATACTTTAACTTTTTAACTTTAGACTCAGTTTCTTGTGTTTAACATAATTTTGTTTAAATATCCCCAGATATTTTTATTCCTTTTTATCTATACATATAATAAGAAAATATCCACTATATTAGAATTAAAATTATTCGAGAAATAGCCCAGGTGAAAAAATTTGTAATAACTTACACTGTCAAAAAAGTATTATAATTATATGAAGTTATATAAGTATATATGTATATATAAGTAATTAATATATTTTTTCAGGTAGCGGAGTACATGTTGGATTGCGCCCGTAACGTCAAACCGGATCTATATGTAGTAGCGGAACTGTTTACTAACTCGGACCACGTCGACAATATATTTGTCAATAGACTCGGTATAACGTCGCTAATACGAGGTCAGTGCTCACACATACATACATTATATAATAAACAAGTAATGGTTTTAGAAGGTCTCATTTAAATGGTTTTCATTATACAACTTGAGGAGAGTTATAGTACAGCAGTCATGGCCAGTGTAACTTGGTCTTGATGGTTTTTGTTATATATATATGCTGTAACACTCACTCACATATTAAAACAGGATATATATTTATATTGCCCTGTTTTTTAGTTGTGAGTGTGGGATAATAAATCCATATGTATGTGTATATAGGTTTAGGTTTAAAGATCTTTATTCTCAACAAGACAATACATAGTCACTTATTTGAGAACATTACTAACTTAAACATATAACTTTGTTAACATTCGTCACACCAGGTTTTATTTAATCTGTAATGATTAGTAGGTACGTAATTAATAAGAGAATAATATATCTTGTATTGATTCTATGAAATGTTATGCTAAATATATCTTTATTATCCAACAGAAGCCCTATCAGCTTGGGATTCTCACGAGCAGGGTCGTCTGGTACATCGTTTCGGAGGTCGCGCCGTGGGGTCGTTTTTCACCCCTCAAGTGACCCGCGCCCAGCCTCAAGTGGCACACGCATTGTTCCTAGACCTAACACACGACAACCCATCACCGATCGATAAAAGGTCATATTATAATCTTTATATTTATAAAAATTTCGTGTCACGTGTTTGTCCGCGATGGACTCCTAAACTACTAAACCGATTTTAAATTTGATTTGCATTCCGTTTGCATTTTGATCCAACTTGAAAGATAGGATAGCTAACATCTCAATTTATAGTTACAATATTATTTTATTGCAAATGATTTGTCTATTAAAGAAAATTATTTGTAATTATTACAATTATCTGTTAACTGAGTTAAGTATTCAATAGATGGCGCTATGTTAAAAATACTAACGTCATATATGATCGACTATTTAATATTATTAAATAGTAATAGTAAAACTAAATTTATTTATTAAAAAAAGTACTGTTACTTTTTTATGTTATAATATTTCTTGATTATAGGGCGATACGAAGTTCGCCGGGTCTTCTAGTTGTTGATAAAAATTCATTATTTTCTCCTTATCCTTACTCATGCGACGGGATACTATTCCAACTATTCTCTGTCCGTCTCCTTCCCCCAATTATAATTTGGAGATCTTAGTAAGAGAATAGATATTCTTTTCTGGAATAGTGTGATTACCATGTCGTCGGAGTAAGTGCAAAACCGCGTAACTAGCTTTGGATAATTCCGCTTATCTGCATTGGAAGCAAATTAACAAACGAAAGTTTAAGCTGAAATATTTTCTAAATTACCGACTTTTAAAGTAATTTTGTCACAATTTTTAATAAATTAAACATTAAATAATTACTAACTGTGAAAAAATTACTTTAAAAGTCGTTAATATTGAAAATATTTACGTTTAAACTATCTTCTGACAACTTACTGTGAATGCAGATACGATGAATTAACCAATGCTAGTTACGCGGTTTTGCACTATCCCCGACGATATAGTACATACATTTCTATTTATCATCAAGTAAAGCATCTCACTATTTGGTTGATGTTAAAACATGTATGTCTGTCTGTCCCAGGAGTGTGTTCGACCTTCTCCCGTCCGCGGCGCTGGTGTCGATGGCCAGCTGTGCGATCGGTTCAACGAGAGGATACGACGAGCTCGTGCCGCACCATGTAAGTATACACACCCTGTAGATAATACTAACATTATATACTTAAGGATTCTGACAAAGACTTTAAAAATATAGATGAATTATAAAGCCAGTACTTTCAAATAAAAAATAAAATGTTACGTAGAACAAACTAATTATTATCTCAAACCAAAACACGATAAATAAGTTAAATTCAATTTACAAAGACACAATCGCTTCGACAAATATTTTCAATTTACCAGATGTCATCGCTTTAACTTTATTTTCTAGGCGTTCGGGAAATTGAAGGTCCGGTTCCAATAAAATGTGTGTTCCATAAATATAACTAGTGTTGTATTAAATCCGTATCAATTTAGACGGAAATTTTTGTTTTGTCATTTTTGATATATTGTATATTGTTATATTTTGAAAAGTCTTTACAGGCTTAGTATTTTTTTTAGTCTCAGACATAGATATACTCAAATATTAAAAAATTGTTGTACATTTATATTTTTTAATATTATAGATCCACGTGGTGGACGAGGGTCGTATGTACGCGGAGTGGGAGGAGGGGGAAGGGGAGGGAGTGAATAATTCCACCGGCCTTATAGCGGCCAGGAGGGCGCTCAATGATCTACACTTACATCTAGCAACCTCCGGATACTCAGAGGTGGGATCATATTATCTTTATCTATATATCTATATATGTATATAAAAATGAATTGCTGTTCCTTGGTCTCACTAAAACTCGAGAACGACTGAACGGATTTATCTTATCATAGTCTTGAAATGTTCGTGGAGGTTCAGGGAAGGTTTAAAAGCTGAATTTTTTTTATTAATTTCCAGGAAAACCCTAAAAACAGCGCTTTTTTATTTCCCATACAAACGGTTTTTTGACATTAGATTTGACAACTAACTAATATGTCAACCATTTTGTTCGATTGAAACAGGAGAAACCTGATTATTAATGGCCTCTAAAACGGAATAGAGTTCGCCCGATCAGCTATACATATATTACTAATGACGAAACTAACGCGGACGAAGTCGCGGGCAAAAACTAGTATAAAATACATATATACAGTTAACACGAGAGTAATACATATGTTGCTCACTGTACAGGTGTACGTGGATCAAATGGATGCTGACGTAGTAGCTGTGACGAGACACGAACCGCACTCGAGAAAGGTACATACATGATATTACAAATCAATCAATTTTGAGTTTTTTTAAAATCTTTATTTAAGGACTTGTTTACAAAAAAGAAACATGTCGTCCTGTTTGGACAACTTACAAATATCTTAACAACTACACATATATTCTTATATCATAAACACAAACAATTCTATATAAAAACAAACATAATTGAAAAAAAAAACCCTAATTTTACAAATATTACTGAGAACAACCACACCTAAATTTCCCTGACTCTTAGCAATTCTCTCACTAATGTATATATCTTCATAGCAGACAATTTTGAGTTTATTGTACTAAATGAGATGTAATTTTCAGTCTGTTATTCTGGTCGCCTTCACGGCTTTCAAAGCCCCCGACGAATCTTTCACCGGCCGCTATGTTAAGCCGTTACGTTTCGAGGGACAACTAGAGGAAATTATTTTGGAGGCGGTGCTGAGACACAAGGATCACAGGTATAGAGATAAGCTGTATATAATAAATGCGAAAGAAACTCTGTCTGTCTGTTACGCTTTCACGCCTAAACCACTCAACTGATTTTAATGAAATTTGGCACAGATATAGAGTTGACCTTGAGAAAGAACATAGGATAGTTTTTATTCCAGAATTTTGAAAGGTTCTCTTTTAAACGCGATATAACCGAACTCGACGCGGGCGGAAAGCTAGTTATATATATTTTACGTATTGAATAAGATTGTAACGTAATTTGTTTGTTATTAGGAGCACGGGCCGACCGTTCCAGTCGTGTGGAGAGTTTTCTCGTGACCCGCAGTACATCAACGGCCTCAGTGACTACGAGGCCAGTGTCCGCTGTGGCGTTCCTCTAGCGCAGTCCAACGTGTTCGTTAGTGAGCGTCGTGACGGAGCCTACACCGTGCTAGAATTCGGTGTTCTTCCTCCCGGGACGGTGGTCGCGGTGCGTGTAGCCCCACACTCCTCACAAGCGGCAGCGTTGTCCGCTCTCAGACGAGTGACCTGCCAGCATCCATCCACTGACCCGCTGAGTCTATCGCCGGCCCTCACCGACCTCGATCTAGGAGATTTCAACGCTCTACTATATTGTTGTGACGCGGAGGAACGTGAGCGATGCGGGGGCGGAGTGTACGACGTGCCGGGACACGGGCCGCTCGTGTACGCGGGGCTGCAGGGCGTGGCCTCACTGCTGGAGGAAATCGCGCCGCGGGACGACCTCGGACACGCGCTGTGTGACAACCTCCGCGCCGGGGACTGGCTGCTCGACTACCAGTGGCGGCGGTTGGAGTCTGACCCGCGACTGGCCGCGCTCGCGACGATATATAGAGAAGCGTTGAGACCAGTCGGGGAATTACCGCGTTTTCTGTTGCCGGCTTACTTCGAGGTTATCATCCGTTGTATGGTAGCGGCTGTAAAGCGCGCGGCCCTGGCTCGACTGGGCGGGGTCGCTTTGTCTTCGGGCGTGGCTCGTGAGTTGTCTCTGACGAGTGTCCAGCTGGCCGGGTCAGTGACCTCTGCCCACCTGCCCGCCATGTCTCCCTCCCTGCCGATGCTCCGTCCCGCTCGCCCCCTGTCTCTTTCTGCCGGTCTGCCTCACTTCGCCGTGGGCTACATGAGATGCTGGGGTCGAGACACCTTCATCGCTCTACGAGGAATGTTCATACTCACGGGCCGTTATCAAGTATGCATTCAATATTCTTTATTTTTTATTTTATTTTCTTTATTTTATTTTATTTTATTTTATTTGGGAAACAAACAATTTAGAAACACTGTAATATAAAAATAAAAATAACAAAAAACATAAATCAATAAAGTTTCCACTAAAACCGATACACAAAAAATTAAAAAAAAAAAAACAAATTGAATGAAATTAAATAAAAATCGAAAGTAAACAAAAACAAAAGAGTTAAAAACATTTAGCATTTAAATTATCCCGAACTGCTTCTTTATAAATACTAATTTTTGAGCAAAAAATATTTGATTCTTTCTCTTTATGTTCCTTAACTGACTGACATATAATTTTTTCCTTCCAAGGACGCGCGCTTCCATATACTAGGCTTCGCTGCGTGTTTGAGACACGGGCTGATACCTAATCTATTGGATGGAGGTCGCAACGCTAGATTCAATTGTCGCGATGCGGTGTGGTGGTGGCTGCAGAGTATAAAACAGGTAATCATGACATTTTTCATAACTTTGGTTGTTATACAAACATGAGAATTCAGTCTTAAGTAAAAATATTTCTATGCCAGTACTGTACGGAGGCACCTCAAGGTTACTCTATCCTGACGGACCCGGTGTCTCGTATATTCCCCAAAGACGACAGTGAGCCGGCGCCACCAGGAGCAGCCGACCAACCGCTGCATGACGTCATGCAAGAAGCTCTGGACGTTCATTTTCAGGTAATTAATTCATAATTAATTTAAAGAAGTTTATTTCCAAAAAGAACAAAATTCGCTTACAAAAAATTTTAAAAATTATAACTACAAATAATAAACAGTAGTGATATTAAACAAGATCAGTGATTTATCTAATATATGGGTTCTTAATCGCTTTTTAAAATATATTTATGTATTTTGAATCGACAACACTTAAATAGTTATACAGCTATGCTCTTTCAAATGAAATAGTTTTAATGCCGTACTTGGTTCGAGTTTTAGGTGTTTCTAATTTATATCTGTTCCTTGTGTGGTAAGAATGTGTTTTGCTTTTAAATGTAATTTGAGAATGAGTAAGGTTTGTTAATATTTTTCGAATAAGTATACATAATTTATTTATACATTTGTTTAATAGATAAAATTTTTGTTGTTTTATATAAATCTTTAGTAGGTGTATAATAATCTATATGAAATAAGACCTTGATAAGTTTATTTTGAGAGATCTGCAAATTTTTTATATGTGTTTTAACCGCGTTGGCGTTATATTTCTATAAGGTATTCTAATACTGGTTTTACTAAAGTATTGTAAATAATGTTTCGTACTCTTGGAGGAATACAACGTGCAGATTTACGTAAAGCTCTAGTAAGCGAAGTTATTGTGGAATGAATGGAATTTATATGAGGTTTCCAAGTTATATTTTTATCTAAAATTAATTCTAAGTATTTTTCATTATTTGACTGTTTGATAGTTTGATTGTTAAGTATCAATTCATTATGGGAAGGAATAGATTTATTTTTGGCCGAAAAAATCATATATGAGGTTTTTGAGACGTTTAATGTAAGTAAATTGTACTGTAACCATTCGTCTAGGATATTTAAATTGCTAAGATAAGATGAAATAGTTTCGTACGCGGTCCCAGCTATTCCAACTCTTCTATTTTTTTGTAATAATATATAATGTGAAACCGTGTCAAACGCTTTTTTTAAATCAATGAATACTCCTACTACAATATTTTTGCTATCAATGTTATTTTTCATTTTAGTGATGAGATCAATTGTAGCAGAAAGCGTTCCTGCTTTCGGACGAAAACCGTATTGCTTGTGATAAAAAAAGTTTATATCGTTTAAATATAGACTTAACGATTATGCATGATTTTTTCAAATATTTTGGACAAAACGGGTAACACAGAAATAGGTCGATAGTTACCAGGATCTGATTGTGTTCCCGATTTATATAGGAGTTACTCGTGCAATTTTAAGATTATTTGGAAAAATTCCTTTATAGATTTATTAATACAGTGACTTAAATTTTTACTTTTAGGTTTTTTACACATTTTATTGATTTTACTGTAACCCCATCAATCCCTGTACTTGTGCTAGAATCTAAACTATTAATTATATTTATTACCTCTTGTTCCGTACAAGGTTTGAGTAGCTCAAGTTTTTGTGTGTATTTATGTACAGATACAGTTTCGCTATAAGTATTGTAATTATGATATTTAGCCGGGATTCGTTTCGTTAACACCTTGCCTATAGATAAAAAGTAATGATTGAAACACTCACATATGTTAGTTCCTTCAGTAATAGTCTCATCATTTATAATTAATTTTGGAGGAGCACAGTTTTTATTTTTGATTTTATTTACTGCTATGGAATTTATTAAGTCCCACATACGTTTTGAATCATTAAAACACCTTATGATAGCTTGGTAATAGTAATTGTCTTTAGTATTTCGTATATTTTCACCAACTTTATTTCTTTCATTGTTAAATTTTAATTTTAATTCCTTATTATTTTTATCTTGTTTAAGTTTATTCCATAACAAGTTTCGCTGACTTATATCTTGAATTATATTTTTGTTGATCCAATCATTTCTAGGTAAGTTTTGTATCTTATATTTAGTTAGTTTATTTTGCTGTATTTGGGTTACAATAAAGTTTTCCAATAATTTAAAATCAGGGTTTATAAAAGTAGACTCTTCAATGTTCTTATAAAGGGTATCATAATTTATGACTTCATATTTAAGTTTCCTTTTAGACTCATGTTTAACCTTTTTTAGCTCACAATATATTTGTTTGTGATCCGTCAGTGGTGAATCGATATTAGTAAAATTAATTTTTTGATTTATATTTGTACAAACATGATCTATAATAGATATGGATGTCTCTGTTTCTCTGGTGCAGTAAATGTTGTATATTTTATTTAATATATCATACCCAGCCTCTTTAACAATATTAATATATTTCTTAGTAATATAATCATTTTTTAATAAATTTACACTGAAATCACCAAAAATTATACATCTTTTTCTTGTTTGTAATTGTGAAAAATATTGTTCTAAAAATCTCGTTGTATTCGTACTTGGTGGTTTGTAAATTAATCCAATATTAAAAGAGTATCTCTCTAAGCAAATTCATAAAAAGTTATTTCCGTGTAAATATTTTTCTTCGGTAACATGATAACACAAATCTTTATGTATAAAAATGGATTCACCTCCACCCCTTCTGTAGTTAAATTATATTAAAATCACCAAAAAATATACATATTTTTTTTGTTTCTAATTGTGAAGAATATTGTTCTAAAAATCTCGTTGTATTCGTATTTGCTGGTTTGTAAATTAATCCAATATTAATAGAGTATCTCTCTAAGTAAATTCATAAAAAGTTTTTTCCGTCTAAATATTTTTCTTCGGTAACATGATGACACAAATCCTTATGTATAAAAATGGATACACCTCAACCAATTCCATCCCTTCTGTAGTTAAAGATATGAGTATAATTCGGTAGTTGTATTGCATCTAGATCGGATTTTATTCATGTTTCTGTTAATAACACTAAGTTTATCGTGTACTTAAAAGATTTTAAACTGCATTTTATTTCGTCTAATTTGCATGGTTTTAATAAGCTACTTACATTTTCGTAAAAAATGTTTAATGAAGTAGAAGTTGTATTAATATTTTTATAATCGTTAATATTTGATAAGTTATATTCTCGTCTAGGAGTCTTTATACTTTTGTCGTTTTTTGATGTTATATTAATGACTCGCTTTTGCCGCGACTTCGTGCGCGTGGAATAGTGACTTTCGACAGATTTTTGGTTCTCCCCACATAGTTCCCGTTCTTGCGTGGTTTTCGGAATGGTCGAGTTCCCGTAGAATTTTCAGGATAAAACCTATGTTTTTTTTAAAATTCACAATTAAATACTCTTAACCAACAACATATTTATTTGTTTATTTGAATAAAGATTAATATTATTATGTTGATACAACTTAAACAAATTATTTCGACCAAATTAGGTACCATAAAACGGTTTTTGTGAGTTAATCTTAAAAGATAGACATATACTGTCGCGGATTGTTTTTTAGATCATTAAAAGAGCTATTATTCTTTAATATAAATTTTTTATCTTTGTGTATCTTGAACCGTTTTCACGGCGCACGCAACGGAAGGCTTCAAAGATGAAATAATTTCTCCCGTTTTTTTCACATTTACCACTATATCTTTACTCCTGTTGGTCGTAGCGTAATGTTATATAACCCACAGCCTTCCTCGATAACTGGACTATCCAACACAAAAAGAATTATTCAATTCGAACCAGTAGTTTCGGAGATTAGCGCTTTCAAACAAACAAACAAACAAACTCTTCAGCTTTATAATATTAGTATAGATTTTAGGAAGGAATTATTTTGTCTTTGACGCAGTTCATTCTTAAAATTTTTAAAAAAACTTAAGTTGCGCAGAAGTTTGGTCCCAATAGATACGAACATTATTAATTATTATTTATTGAGCAGTACAAGGTTCTTTAAAGCACACTTTAATATTTCTATTTTTATTAGGAAGATATTTACCCAATCTTAACTTTATAGGCATCGGACATTCAGGATATATATCTTTTATAACTTTCATAACTTCTTGTGTATCATAGTTACGCCTTGAATCCGCATTTTTATCATTTATTTCAATAGTACTCGCAACAATTATACAGGGTGACTGGTGAATTACTATCAATATTTAAGGAGCATACTCGGTACATGATTCTCATTCGAATTATGTAAAAAAAAATAGGTACTTAATTTTTGACCAAATTTCCGTATAAATAAATAAAGTGTGTACACGTTCCAAGTGTTCCAAGTGTGGACGTGTGCGACGGCGTGCTGATACAACACTATGCCGCCGCCGCGTCTGTGTGAGTGTGTGTGTGTATACCTAATCTGTAGGGTGTTCATACGATGCGTAATTAATTACATAACTTTTGGTTAACTTTACTTAGAAGTTTATTAATATTTATGTTATATTAATTTTTATTTTGTCATATATGATCGTCAAATATCACGTCCTCAAATATCGATAGTAATTCACCAGTCACCCTGTATTTTTCTGGCGGTAGCATCGGTCTTGGATTTCTAAGGCAACGCTTTCACACATAAGCGGTAGCGGATTAGAGGATGATGTTCGATTGACTATGGGTGAATGGATATTTTTTCTAAAATATTTATTCTATTTTGAAGTGTTGTATTTTGTTCTTTTATTGCCTCTAAGTCCCTTCTTAAAGATTGATGGTCTAATATCAATTTTTCAGATGAATATTTTATCTCTCGAATTTCTTTCTTTATTTCTAGTATGTCTTCAAAGATTTTGTTGTTATTTTCTTTTTGACTACTGCTAAATTCTTCAAATAATATTTTTATTTCTTCTCACAGCTTGGTAAATTCTTCTTTAAAAATATCATCTTTTCTTTTTCTTATAGTTATGTTACCTCTTTCTTCCGACGAACATAATTTGGCAATCGAATCATTTCCGCTCTTCGTTGATCATTGAACACTCATCCTTAGATCTTAGATAACGGTTTTTTTTTATTTTTTTTATTTATACCTACTCCCTCTAACACGGTCAGAGTCTTTTTTTGCTAGCTACATTCATGCTAGTTCTCGCTTTTGTAAGGGCCTGTCATTCTGTATTCTAATTCTTTCTTTCATTCAACTCATTCTTTCCTGGTATATCTATCTAACCGTCTATTTACATTCTTTATTTTATTCTTAGGACTATAGGGTGCTGTTTTATTTATTATTTGGAGTCATTTTAATATACATAACAATATAATTTGTTAACATTGATTTGGCATTTCCAATTATCAATATTATCCTATTTTTATTTACTTATCTATTACATTATTATTATATTTAATCACATTGTTTACATTTACTTTGTCTTAGATAACGTTGAACAATAGCGACTCGAGCGCACGGGTCACTTTTTTGGTTCTTAACACAATTGCCACTATATTTTGGCAGGGTTTCATTAACTTAAGCGTTTTATTCACTTTTAGGGTCTCGTCTTCCGTGAGCGTAACGCCGGCCGACAGATAGACGCGCACATGTCCGATAAGGGGTACAACATACAGATCGGAGTGGACCCAGAGACCGGCTTCCCGTTCGGAGGAAACGACGCCAACTGTGGCACGTGGATGGACAAGATGGGGTCCTCGGAGACGGCCGGCACGCGGGGGAAGCCCGCCACCCCGCGAGATGGTAGCGCGGTGGAGCTCGTGGGGCTGGCCTACAGCGTCACGAGCTGGCTGGCGGCGCAGCACCGCTCCGCTAAGTATCCGTACCCGGGAGTGGCGAGGAGACACCGGGACGGCTCCCTCACCGCCTGGACCTACTCCCAGTGGGCGGATCGGATCCGACGCTCCTTCGAGCGACACTTCTGGGTCCCGGCCGCGCCCTCGGCCGCCGACCAGCGGCCCGACCTCGTGCACCGCCGCGCCATCTACAAGGACACGCACGGCGCCTCGCAGCCCTGGGCCGACTATCAACTGCGCTGCAACTACGTGGTCGCCATGGCTCTGGCGCCGGAGCTGTTCGACCCGCGACACGCCTGGCTCGCCCTCGACAATGTAGAAAGACTGCTGCTTGGTCCTCTCGGCCTCAAGACCCTGGACCCGGAGGACTGGGCCTACCGTCCCGACTACGACAACTCCAACAACAGCTCGGACCCGAGCGTTGCGCACGGCTTCAACTACCACCAGGGCCCGGAGTGGATGTGGCCGCTCGGCTTCTACCTCCGAGCGCGGCTCGCCTTCGCCCATGACAACGGTCAGTTCTCCAAGACCGTGGCGGCGTCGTACGCGGCGCTCGGCCCTCTAGTCAAGGAGATGCGCTCGTCCCCGTGGCGCGGCCTGCCCGAGCTGTCGAACGCGGGCGGCGCCTTCTGTAAGGACTCGTGTCGGTCGCAGGCCTGGAGTTCCTCCTGTGTGTTGGAGGTGCTCCACGACCTCGAGGTGTCGCGCCGAGCGAGGCCGCTGCCTCTCGACTGACGCACCTCCCGCGGCCGGCCGCGCCGCGTGCGTCATGCACAGCGTGCGCCCTCGCCGCGCCGTCTGTACGCGGAGCCGTACGAGCGTCCCCCGGCCCCGGCCCGGCGCTCCACGGCCCTGCGCCGCCTGCTGCCCCGCCGCCGGCCCCGCTCGCTCCACTCCGCGCGGTCCGTCCGTGTGTCCCGGGTGTACTCGCTGCTGCCCGGCGCGCGGCCCGGCTGCCTGTCCACGGTGGTGTACAGTGACCGTTACTTCCTATACGGTCTGTCGCTCCACACATGTCCGCCCCACTCCTCGGTCCCTGTTCACTACACTCCTCTGCCCCGTGTCTCGTGTGAGCCGGTCCCGGGCGGCGGTGTGTTGGTCGGTGCGGGCGTGTCCGTTCCTCGTGTGAAGGTCCGTTACGGGTCTATTCGTCGTGGTCGTAGGGACGTCCCTCGTGTGTTCGGTCCTCCCCTCCCCCTCCACAGCCTGTACCCCCCCCCCCCCCCCCTCCCTCTTTCCTACCGTCAGCCGGTCGAGGTGTCACCGTCCCCGGGTCTGGTGTCTCCTGCTCGTCCTCGTTGTGAGTCTCCGTCCCCCCACTTATCCGTCTCCGAGCCGCCTCCCCGGCCCGAGTTCGCTCGTCCCGACAACTCATCTTCTCGCCCACCCAGCACCCTATCACTTATCTACAGCAGCACGGCGCCCTACGCGGTGTACGAGCCCTATGGTTCGTCCCGAGGCGCAGTTCTCCGTCGTAAGGTCCTCAACACGGAGCGCTATACAACGATCAAACACCCGACGCTCACACAGAAACGAACCGTTCGAGCTCTACTGGTAATTAGTGGAGCTTTTTATACTCTAGCCTTCCTCGCCTTTTACTTCCTAAGCCTGGGTTGATTAAAATGCGAGTATCTCTCTAAGACAAGGGCTTGTACAGCTGAGTTACTACACGTAATGAGAAATAAAAAAAATATTATTAAAAAGATAGATATAATAGCTCTAACTCCCTATTTATCCCTTTATCTTTTGTCATACCTATTGTTACTGTATAATGATGTATTTAGATTTCAATATAGATATGCAAGCAGAAAAACTACCTACTAAAAAAGTTTTTTAAGTGTTGCCATTATAGCAGCTAATAAAATGTTAAAACTAAGAAAACGAAAGTTTCTATATTCCTGTGCCATAATATTTTTATTAAAAAATATTGTATATCTTTTTATGATTTTCTTGGGTTTTGTTATTTAATATAAAGCGGCTATCGTTGTAAGTACATGTCTCGGTTCTAGATGTATTCGAGTCTTTTCTAAAACATATTTGTTTGATATTGTTATATATAAATATGATAGATTATATATCTTTGTTACTGAATCATATATTTTAGTTATAAAAGTTTATGCCTATTTTAGAAAGTATAATTATATATGTATATAAATATATTTTATTGGTAATTATTATATGAGATTTTAAATACATGTTATAATAAATAAGTGATATAATTTAATGAGGTTTTTTTATTCCTTCAACTCTACTCTCCAATTCAATAAGTATTACGAGATTACCGACGAACCCAATAGGAATAAGTTCGTCGTAAATTTGTACGAATTAGAAGTGGGCGCGAAGGTATAACAGCTAAATCTCTCTACAATCTACTAAGAGACTTGGGCCTGTCCAGAACTAACATAAATTCATTCTTGGAACGTACTTCTAAACCAGCCCTAGTGGTCTTTTAAAATTGGTTAGGTAGAGAGAGGAGCTTGGACAATGGAGGTGAGCGTTTAGCACGCTTTAGATAAGGGCCCCTTAAACCTACACCTGGGTCGCAAGTCCCAGTCACTGTTGAAGATCCTCTCCCTGCAATAGGATAATTTATAAAAAAATACTATACCCGTGTGTTATTGAAAATGAAAGACGTTTCTTGTTTTCTATTTTAAATTATTAACAAACTTCATTTGTCTTCCGCATTTTTCTATATAGGCCAGTGCAGAAGCCTTCAAAATTAATGAAAAGTGAAAATAAATTCTAGTAGAAGGAAACTCATTACAAAAGGAGGAGAATATTATAAAAATTAAAGGAAAAATAATTTACGTGCGATCTGAGGTCGGGAAGGGTATGGGGTGGGTAATTAATAATAAAAAATGGATTTTCTCGATTTCCGGCAAAACTAAAAGTCCTACGGAAAAATGTTATATGGCAAAGTTGTAGGTAATAAAAAGATCTAAAACTGTTATATTAACGGTTTTTTCACATAACCTCAAAATTTATGTGAAAAATTCGAAAAACCAAGTTTTTGGTTTTTTATTTTCATCTCTTACAAAAAACAATATTTTGTCACGAAATTTAGTGAACACTTTTCTTTTAATGTTACAAATGCACTGTAATTTATTTGATTAGAAATAATTATTTTTTCAGCCTTGGACTGTGCATACAAAATCTTAAGCATTTTTAATTAAAACCGTTTATCGAATGACTTGAATGCTTGTTCGTCTTTGATACATTCATTTGTGATTGGTAATGACATTTGTTCAATGTCACGTCATTCTTTGTATATTAGCAAAGTATGATGTGTAAGCTGTTAATCATAGACACTCTGTGTTTTATTGTGCTCTATACATTAAACACAGGAACTGCACATATGTTTAGTTCATTTTATTAATTTACTTTATATATATGTTAAAAAATAACATGTTAAAGCAATGAAAGTTTATTGTAAAGATATACATTATGTGTACCAAAATATATTTTTTTCATTTTTGTCTTTCTTTGCTTATTACTTCTAATTTCTAAACGATTGAATAGATTTTGAAAGGACTTTCATTGGTAGACGGTTGCTATAATGATGAGTAGCATACAGAAGTTACCTCTATATTTAAATTTTTTATTATTAGTAATATCAAAATTAAATGAGTAAAAATAGTATTAAATAAAGTTGCTTCATAACTAGTTTATTAATTTAATAGAATTAACCACGTGACTTTTTGTCTCTTTTTTACTATTGGTCACTAGAAATGGCGTTCAAATTTTTTTTGGCGTCAAATTTTATTTAACTGTACTTAAATATGAAAAAATTTGTATCGGGTGTATGTTTTTACATAATGACGGAAAAAAAACAAATTTTTAGATATCATCAATATAGGAATTCTATAACATATAAATATCTATTTTATAGATTTATTATAAACATTATTTTTAACGGACGTAGAGCCTAGCTGTGGTCTAGGTACTACAGCTCGAAAATAGGCTGGCTGGATCAGGGAAGTACCACCCTTTCACAGAAGCTCGGCATGAAGTATCCTTTAATGGCTGCATTTCGTCTGATGAGTGAGAGAGCTGGTTGCCTTTTCCCTGTTCCCACCCTTCCCTTTTCCTCAAAAACTAAGGTTATACGCGGCGGTAACAACATAGTGCCCAAAAAAGGCTCGTTTGCCACCTTTCTCATATAAAAATATACTATTGCATGAAAAATAAGTTCTACAAATCTTCAAAGAATCAGCAGCGGAAGAAGTCTGTTCAATATTTACTAAAAATAAATGACTTATCATTTAAAAAGTTAAAATTGCGTAATGACTTACGTAATTGGTTACGTTAATCCATTTTAAGTTTATTGTTAAGTAAACAATAATGTTATGAATACTAAATAAACTCAGTGTTACGCTTTTATAATATTACATAACACGAGTACGTGCTGAGAAATAGCGATTCCTAAAACAACTTCATTTAGTTATATCTTTATGATATATTGCATTTATTTTATGTAAAATAAAGAAGGAAAAATTTTTTGTTATATAGAAATAGGTCTTAACTTTAGATGGTAACTTTTTTGACTGCAGGTTTTATAAATATAAAATTAGTACTTTTGCTGTAAAAACAGCTGTTTGCTTGAGTAATCTCATTCTGTTAATTTTGACGTATCTGTTCTGAGTTCACTCAGAATTTCGCATCGTCAACTACATGCGATGCTCATGCCGGTTTTTCATTCATAAATTTTAGCACTTTTTTTTAATTTATGCTAAAAGTGGCAAATGATAAACGGTCTACTTGACGGAGGTAGTTACCGTCGCCTCTACAACATAGTTTTGCGGATGCTTTAGAGCGATTGAGGAAGAGGGAGAGGAAAGGATGGGAAAAAGAGAAACGACAGGAAAGTGTGGGGACGGGAAAAAGCGACATGCGTTCACACTTATTTTACGGAGATCAGACATTAATGGTTAGTTCACGCCGATCTTCTGTGAGAGGATGGTACCTACCCTGTCGAGACTGCACACGTTCGAGCTGCAATAACATGACCACATCTAGACTCTCCCACCTTGACAATTATTATATTAGCGTAGGTTGTTGAATGAGAAATGTAAATATATACACATCTTTAAGACGCTAATAATAATAATTATAACTATTCAGAAATAAGACATTAAAAATTAGAATAACTAAGAAGAAAAGGAGAATGTTTGATAAACTTAAACTTACTTTTACTTCATATAGCACAACTTAATTTTCACACTAAGCACTCATTCCATTCTATTTACGGGTCCTTCTAAATCCAACTACATTTATTAACCTTTGGAAGAGATATATTAATTTTATAACGTTACGAATTTATAAAAGACAGAATGCTTTTGGACGAGATGGTTAAAACTTGGAAGCGTTGCGAACTCCTTTTGTGTGATGTATACAGTGGAAATGTAAGGAAGATTTTTTTGACATAATTATAGTTTTACTACAATTATTCTTGTCTTTGGTTGTAGAATTGAGTTTAATAGAGGATTGTACAGTATATTTAGTCCGAGTCTACATACTCAGATTAAACATAGTATTTCTAGTTTCTCATTCAATACTTAATTGTACAGAAATTAATACATTAAAATCTCTGTACGTAGCAAGATGAAACAATTTTTTTTTACGTAAAAGATGTCTTTTGTCACAGCAAGTAAAGCATTTGTAAACACCATTATTTTGAAGATGTTCATAGACTATAGGTAACACTAGATTTGCAATCTTTTTCATTGACTAACTCCTATAACCTGAAAAATTTGAACACACTACTAGCTTGTTCGGAACTACAAATATTATTATACAATTATTACAAACGACCTCAAAACTGAGCGGAAACAAGGATTGAAACCAGTTCTAAAAGCAATTTATATATAAAATAATAAACTGCATTAAATTAACGGAGGTTAAATGTACGTTTATTGAAATATTGGAAACATATCAAATAAAATAAATCAAGAAGTATGTGTATGTTTATCAAAAGATCATGAAGGATAAGTATTTTAATTGAATTTAACATACTTTTTCTTTTTTTTTCCTTTAGAGATAAACATTAACAAAAATTAAGTTCTTCAAAGGCTGCTACTTTTTTTTTGTCTCACAATAATTATTAACATTGTTTTATAAGACTAATTAATGAAGTGACGTATAATTTAAGGGGAAACTTTGTAAGCTTGGCTGTAGTAGTTGGCGGCCGTAAAGTTTATATAAAAAGACATTCTGAGCCCGCGTCGTTTTAGTTATAACTATGGCGGCTTTCAAAGAGGTCTGTTTTTTTGGATAATTTTTAATTAATTAATTATTTAATAGTGTAACATTAAAGTGTAGTTAAATGCGATGTCAAGTGTAAAAAGTAACCATTTATTTTTAACATTATTTATAGATATTTGGTAAGGTATGGGTATAATTTTATTATATATTATATACATATATATTATATATACTTATTAATTGAACTAATCTACTCTGCCAGTTATTTGATTTCAACAGAAATCCTTAAAATCTATTCATAAATACGTGTTTTGTTTAAGTGTTGAGCAAGGAGGTTCTATCGGTTAAATTACATATTTCCTTTTTCCGTATTATATGTTTAGTTCATTTTACTACACCGTATATTTTGTCTCAATATTTTACGAGATAGTTTTTTATCTCAATTGTTACTGCTATTCTTTTTATATGTTCCAATTTATCTTTAAAAAGCTTTTTAAACAGTAATAGTATGAATCGTCATATACTTAATAAAAAAAAAGTGAATAAACAAATACTTGCTTATAGTAATTTCAATAACTACAAGATTTTCATTTCAATTTAAATTCTTTGATTAAAATTAACAATTCTTTAAACTTACTGTACAAATATAAATTATACTAGAGTCCTTTAAAAATATTAAGTGTTTAATATCTTTGTAATGATACATAATTTATAATTCCACTAACTTTGCTTGTTCATAATTTAAGTTCAAGGTATTTTTCTAGGTCAGGTAAGTGTTTGACAGCTTATGATATTATCGTATACATTTAAAGGACGCTGATTTAATTGTCACGATTTTAACAAGCTTATAACTTTAACAAATCAATTAAACGTTAACACTGACGTTGAAACTAATGGTTTTTAAGTAGACCATAAAAACTTATACTAAGGGTGCTATATAAAAAAAATGTAAAGACTTTTCGTCATGTTTTATCACTTATATGACTTATTAATATTAATAAATAACCTGAATTTTATTAACCTTTATTTAAACCTCAGTTTATATAGAGAGTAAATTGTAATAGTATATTTTTATTTGTAATCAGAACAATGTTATTTGAAAGACAATGACATATTATATGACGACCTTATACCGTGATTGTCATTAACATTAAGCAATACATTTGTTTTATGTTTTTAATTTATTAATCAATCTGTCAAGTACCATAGACATTTTTTTTGGTTAAATTCGTTCCGTACAGAACAGGTACCATAGATAATGAAGATATAATTCCCATGACTTTTGATGTTGTAATTGAAATATATTAACATAGCTAAATTGCTGTAATAAAAAAAAACTGGCGTCTGCTAGTTAAAAATAATATCATGTTAAAAGAATAACTAATTCAAAGAATTTTTGGACTTATTTAATCTTTATTCTACTTTTTCCATATATTTTCAAGGAATATGTTATTTATTTTTTATTTGTTAAATTAATTCAGATCATGTACCTGCTATGTATCGTGTTGTTTGCGGCCTCGGTGTATGCCAGGCCTAGCCCTGACAGCGCCGGCCATGTTCCCTTGCCCGGCCCTGGACTGTCTTATGGTATGACGAAGTATTATATCATTCTTTAATTATTAAATTATGTGAATAAATATTTTGTTCTTAGAAATAAATCTTAAAAAGTCATCATTCAGCTAAACATAGGGATTTCTATTAAAAACTGAAGAGTATAAAAATAAAAAAATAATCTTTAAATTTTTGTTTAAACCAATTCATTTGTGGATGCAATGAGTATTTTTTTCTATTTGAGATACTTGGTAACAAATTTTATACAAAAACAAATTTGGTTTATTTTATAATAATATCCACTTGGATCTACTTCCATAGCCCATTTGTAAGTGTAGTGTGTTAATGGTTGAATACCTACTCGTGTAACCGAAACTTAAACAGATCGTGTATCTTTCTCATCTTAATTCTATTGTTGTATGAAAACCATGAGAACCACTATATATAAGTATTCAATTTTGTTCCTAATTGATGAATACATTAATTTAATGTATAATAATATAATATTTTGTTATTTTTCAAGGCGGTATCCCCTACGGCAGTGTTAGCGGAAATGTAGCCGAATACTTCAGACACGGTCCATCTGTCGGCCATGTCGGGAACTTCCACGGAGTAAACCAATACTTATAATAGATGGCGCTAGTTGTATATGTAATTAACTTATTGTAACTTTATTAACTCTTATAAAAGTGTGATATTTGGTTGTCTTATTTATATATAAAATAAATATGAATAAAATGTCCTTCGATAATCTTGATATGATGTGATGAGAATATGAGATATGATTCTGGGATCTAAACTTTAGTTTTAAGTTTATTGTAGTTGACATAAAATCGATAACTATTACTAAATTAAAATAATGATGTGGCTATATGTTATACTGTCCACTTAATTTGTAAATTATTAATTTTTAGTAACAAATAAATAATTAAAACGTTCACACGTCTCTTTTTTGCGTATATTTCCACACAATCTATTGTAAATTGAACCTTATCGCCTTGAACAATTTCAATTATCATTAACGTGGTATTGAAAGATGAAGCGGTATATAATGATTTAATAGGTAATGGCATTTTCATCTGATTTATATATCAATAACAGTACGCTTACCCCAAGTCTGTATTATCACACTAATTAAACGAAACATTGATAGTCTCATCCATAAATCTGGTCAAATATCCCTACTAATATTATAAATGCGAAAGTAACTCTGTCTGTCTGTCTGTCTCTTACGCTTTCACGCCTAAACCACAGAACTGATTTTAATGAAATTTGGTACAGAGATGGAGTTGACCTTGAGAAAGAACATAAGATAATTTTTATCCCAGACTTTTGAAAGGTTCTCGTAGTAACGCGATATAACCGAACTCCACGCGGGAGAAGCTGCGGGCGGAAAGCTAGCTTAATATAAAAGATAAACGGTAAACTCCGCGTATAAAGTGTGATTATTCAAACTTGTGTTAGCTGTTCTCACGAGTATTATTGTGTAGTTTGAAGGTAATTAATTGTTAAAAGCAATAACAAGGTGCTAAGATCATTTTATGACTATTAAAATATACTCTCAGGGCTTATACTAACGATTGTAGCAAATATTATTAAATAGCACTAAAATAAATTTATAGATTTGCAAGTTACAGAGAATACGATAAAGGATGATCAAGTCATTTGACAAGTCTGTAGAATATGATAGTGTTTATGTTATAAACCTGAGTTTATCATTTAAGTAACCATTTTCGTACAAAAGAAGACTATGTATTAAGCAAATAAACTATGGTATAAAATATTTATGCCACTCTTTTTGATGGGAAGTAGTTTTGTCACCCATTGGTATTTGCAACGTACTGTTGCGGATACGTTACCAGCCTTAAGAAGGATTGAAGAATGATTATTATGGTTCTATAACAATCCTGTAAGAGCATTGCCCTCGGTCGTAACTGAAAGACAAAATTTTGTGTATCGCTGGCAGTCTGGCACGCAGTATGGAAAGGCTACGGATCCAACCGATATTTGAGGGTCTCCCTTAACCTCGTAGTTATGAAACATACTTAACACCTCAAAATAGACTTAGAGTGATGCAGGACAGAAAGTACACATTTACATCTCAAGAGAGGAAAGGATGGGATAAGGGAAAGGGCAAAAAGTTCTCTCGCTCATGGAACGAAACGCAACAATTTAATACTACCTTATACCGATTTATGAGAGGGTGGTACTTTCCCGGTCGAGCCAACACATAACTTGGCCACAGCTATGCTCTACCATCTTAGATAACATATGTATAAATTTTTGATTATAAATCATTTAAATTTCAATCTTAAACATTAATAGTTGTTATCCTTTGTCCCCGACCTTGCCTAATTGCCGGAATTAAATTTCTTTTAATAGTATGTATTTTATTTTATTCATTTATAAGGTTACTAGTTTTTGCCCGCGACTTCGTCCGCGTTAATTTCATCATTAGTTATATATGTATAGCTGACCGGGCGAACTCTATCCCGTCCTAGAGGCCATAAATAATCAGGTTTTTCCTGTTACAATCGAACAGAATGATGAACATTTTAGTTAGTTGTCAAATCTAATGTCAAAGAAAACATTTGTATGGGAAATAGAAAAGGGCTGGTTTTAGGGCTTTCCCGGAAATGAATCAATTTTTCTCACCTTTTATACCTTCCCTGAACCTCCACGAACATTTTAAGACTAAGATAAGATAAATCCGTTCAGCCGTTCTCGAGTTTTAGCGAGACTAAGGAACAGCAATCCATTTTTATATATATAGAAGATTTAATTTAACGCCAAATAAACGCTGGCAAAGATCTCGTAATGTCAACATATTTCTATTAATTGCTGTTTAAAAACAACATACATTTTCACTTGACTAGCTTGAAATATGTTCAGTAAAACTTTAAGTTTTTATTTATTTTTACATTTTAAACAAATAACTAGCAAGAATACATTTCTGATAGTGTTCATCATTTTTCAATTCTGTACTTAATATTACATTTAAAAAGATGCTGAATTCAGAAACCAAGTCTTCCCTTGTATTTCTTAGTTTTATGACAATTTATATAAAAAATGCCATATGTATGTATTAACGTTGCTAAAATTCAGTGCAATATTTCGCCAGCATGTAATTTAAGTTTTGAGTAATACAGAAAATTAGGTATTACATATATAGCGATAACTTATAACGTATAATTGAAATAAAGTAACTTAGTAATGTTGTGGGTACAGTCACGCATCAGAAAGCGTAGTACAAGTTTGCAACGCCACACTACATATGCTGCGTTTGCCGTTTTTAATTCAATATAATATGCAATGATTTATGACTTAAACTACTGACGCTCTGTGTGTAGTATGGCAAGGAACGGGTGGTGAGAATGACGAATGATTATAAATCTTATTGTATTTGACGATATTATTTTCAATTAATAGTGCGTTTAAGAAATAGTTAAATTAATAAACAAAATATTGGTTTGTTGATATACATAAGACAGAATTTATTTGACTGACAATTTAAGAATTTTATTTTGTGTATAAGCAATTATTAAATAAAATATTTGCAGTTATAATCAAGGCAAAGGTCTCATAATAGTAAAGGTTGTGTAATATGTACAGTTGTATTCATTGTTTCTTATGGTAACTTTGTCAAGGTTGAATGGGATTTAGTGAGGGCCGTGGAATTAATTGAAAGAGGAACTGAAAAAAATGTCATTTTTAAATAGTAATTTTTTTGTAGTGTCTATTATTTCGTATTCTCGCTTGGTGTTTACTTATTTGCTTATGGATAGATTTTTTCGTTTCGTTTCGTCAAATAAAACGAAAAATAACTGGAAATATCAAATAGTCTGCTAGAATTCCTGAATAAAGTGTCAGAAGTCAGAATGTATGCCAAAAATCTTTTTCCAGGACAACATAATAAACTTTCTTTATTAATAAATGAGTTTCGTCAAAATTATAGTCCCAATATATATTTTATACATATAAAATTTCTATACCAAAAATAAACAATACTTTAGTAAAGAATCAAGAGTATATATAATTCACAGAAACGATATACCAGTCCTTACCTCCAGCAATGTTTTTATTAACACCTGCTCTATAGTCTTCTACCTACTACACATCTGTTAAGAGAAACAAATTAATTGAAACATTCCTCAAGAATAAGATATAGAAGAAGAAGAAGATATAAATAAGTGTCATTGGAAATAAGTATAGTTTAAATTTCAAATCAATCTTTATCAATAATTGTTATGTTCAAATAACAACAATTTTCTATAAGCCTCAGTCTAAATCTCACAGGTTTGAATAAGGATGTATAACATTTAGAGCAAGTCAATGCCTCCTTACCTATTTATATTTTTATGTATAAGTATTACGCGTGCTAGATGAAATGTATAATAAATAGTTTTATAAATTAATTTTTTTATGTTCTAAGATTTGGTCCGGGATTTAATAAAGCCTGAATACCCATTCTTGAGAAAACTCACAATAATCCGAATATGTTACGTTTGACCTTGAGTTTTTTATCACATCTTGACAATTCAATGGTGACTTGTGACATCTAACTGATGTATCCCATGCTTCTAGAAAATTCAGTTTTGTCAGGATTTTATTTTTCTGTCATCTGAATGTTCGTATTGGAGAAAATGTAGGTCCTTAATAATTTTATTTTGGCTTGAAACGTAATTGATACATATTTATATTATAATAAAACTACATTTATGAATAAAAAATAAAAGAAACTATGCAAACAAATCCACCTTTAACAACAATTTAGACGATATTCTACACAAATGAACAGATAAATATTTTTTAACATTTTTTTTTCTTACGAAGAGATTAGTATATATTTAAACATTACCCATTCACAGCTACAAGCCCCTATTAACCCATTAATCGAAATAGTGGTTTTCTGAGAAGCGTATAAATATTTGCTTCTTTCGATGGAAGTCCATACACGTACTCCTTAAAAGCAACAAACGATTCATTGACAATTGTTTTACGATCATTGAGATGTGAAAAAAATAACTCCGATGACGCAGAAAAGTAAGGACTTGGATATTTTTAAACGGCTAAAGTTAAAGGATTTTGGTTCTTATGCTGACGTGATAAATTATTTATCAGCTTATCTGACGTGAACAAGTAAGGAATATCATCTTGTGATTCAAAGCACGAATATCCGCGGTATTTTTGAGCGGTCACTGTTATATATTTCGCATTAGAATTATATTATAAGTGAAGAAATTTTCAAAGAAAGGTGTTGACGTAATGATATGTTGTATTTTTGTTTGTATGTTTCAAATAGAAATGTAATTTACATTCTTAAATGGAATAAATTTAAAGTAGGTGGTAGAGTCTAGTTGTAGTCAAATTACTGCGGTTCAAACATGGGCTGGCTCGACCGGGGAAGTACCATTCTTATAGAAGATCATTGTGAAGTAGTGTTATAAGGCTGCGTTTCGATAGATTAGTGAGAGAGCCGGTTGCTTCCCTCTTCTCACCCTTTCCATTTACCCATCATTTCCTCTCTCTCTCTCTTCCCCAATCAAGGGTGGCGAAGCATCCGCAAAACTATATTGCAGATTGCCATAGGCGACGGTAACTCTCGTACCTCCATCATGTAGGCCGTCTGTCGTTTTGCAGCTTTTATCATATAAAAAAAAACAATATAGTTGGTTGGCAGTAATGCAGTGATTTTTATTAAACTACTAAAAAGGTTCAACATTTTTTACATATACAATATAATAAAGTAAATTTTGTGTATTTAATTCATCCATAATCATGAATCTGTAAATAAATACGATTTCATATAATTTGAAAGAAACTTACTGAATTTACAAAATGCATTGTAAAATTTACAAAGTATACATATTAAGTATTTTCATTACACGTTACTCGTAAATAATATATAATTGTATACAGTTCCAGTATTTCAGGAAGGTTGTAATCATTGAATAAGTCAATGCCAAATATAATTCGTGGACATGACGATGGACGGGATTCTTGAGCCAAGTAATGATTACTTAAACAAATTGTTATACACATTTTTATAATTTTTTAGTATCATCATATAATTAAAATACATTTGAGTGCATATTTAAAATAAATCTCGTCTACCCGTGATCACGTTTGCTGTAAAGTAACCGAAACGTCGGGAGTATGTAGTTTATAATAAAAAATAAAAAATCGCGTAGTATATCCGATAATATTAGTTTAATTTAAATGATTACATGCGAAAATCTTAGTTCTCATTACATTTGAGTGAATTTATTTTTCGTCAAATATTAATAAGCAATTTAATTTATAGTAAATTATGTAAGTTGCGAATTTGAATGGTATTTCTTTGGACCTTTTTATATCTGTAGAATTTTCTGCATATTATCTGTTTTTATACAGGGTGACTGGTGAATTACTATCAGTATTTAAGGAGAATACTCGGTACATGATTCTCATTCGAATTATGTAAAAAAATAGGTACTTAATTTTTGACAAAATTTCCGTATAAATAAATAAAGTGTTGACACGTTCCAAGTGTGGACGCGTGCGGCGGCGTGCTGATACAACACCACGGCGCCGCACGCGTATGTGTGTGTGTGTGTGTATATACCTAATCTGTAGGGTGTGCACACGATGCGTAATTAATTACATAACTTTTGGTTAACTTTACTCAGAAGTTTATTAATATTTATGTTATATTAATTTTTATTTTGTCATATATGATCGTCAAATATCACGTCCTCAAGTATCAATAGTAATTCACCAGTCACCCTGTATATGTACATTGTGTTCTGATGTTTCCTTCGACACAGCGACGTCCATTGTGTTTGATCGAGCCTACTTACAGTAATTATGGCCCTTCCTCTCTCTCATTACCGACGCTGACACGGTATTATACCACAATGACAAACGTTTATACAAGATAACATGATCTTTGATTGTTAAATGTATCTAATATGTATTTTATATACTTTATTATTAAAAATATTATGATAGTATTAATTAAATTTAAACTGCTAGCTTATTATCTTAAACTTTATCGTTACTGCTTCCTGGTAAATGTCTGAATTAGGATAATTTCTTATATATTATATATAACTAAAAGGAGATATAGGAATAGTTTTTCATTTATTTGCAAATATTCACGCACAACAGTAAGCGTAAAATATCTATTTTTTTCGTGTTATATGTTTAAGAAATTACTCATAAATTATTATCATAAATAGAACGCTTCCATTTCATAGGAATTGACGATGATTGCTTCGTATATCGTAATTTTTTCGCGTTCCATCAATATGAAATATGTCGGTACATCATATCAATCTGCACACAATGTATCTATACTCAGCATGTCGTGCCGCTAATCCCAAACACCGTGGGTCAATGGCACTATGGGGTCCAGTGAAGCGTGGCTCTAGGACGCGTCTGTCATATAAAACGATGTCTTCACTCATATTTGACAGTTACACGACAGAAACTATACAGTTGACAGCAACAGCGTCAAAGATGGTTAAGGTAAGTTTTAATTTACGGTCAAAATTGTTGACAATTTGTCATTACGTAATATTGTTTCGTATTTATAGTATTAAATGCATTTGTGCAATTTTAGATCCATATTTTATGTAATCGTGGTAATTAAGAATATTTGTATGGGAATTAAAATAATATTTTGTATTTTATTTTTAAATATTATTAGTATTTTTAAAAATAATATTTAAAAAGCATTGCTTTTTTTTGCCTTTAGAATATTCATAATATCTTTTGCAATGCAAATTTGGTGTTGGCCCTATAAGATACATATATGATATAGACATATTTACATACAACTATTTAATTAAAAAGTAACTAAATAACCTTCTAAATTTCAATATATTTTTACTATACATATTTTATTTTTATTTCAGATCGTCTTATTCATCATTGCCTCCTTATTATCCTTGGCCCTTTCGGCTCCCGTTGAAAAGGCTGAAGATCTAGCCTCCTCTGATAAAGAGGATCTTCAAACCGCAGCTTCACATTTCGGACCGTACGGCTATGGCTTTGGGGGCTACAGATACGGAGGATATTACGGCTATCCTTATTACAGTTATTACGGCTATCCCGGATACGGTTACGGCGGCTTATACGGAGGCTTCCCATACGGATATTACGGTCACGGCTTCTGGTGGTAAAATACTAAACATTTTTGAAGATTGGTCTCATTCCAAAGAACATATAACATGAACCATAGATATTAAGCAAGAGAGGCTGTTCTATAAGGTTATATGAATGTTTGCACATCAAGACACAAATTCAACACAGTAGCATTTAATAGGTTTATTATGAAAAAATATTTTCATAGATTTGTAAAAAATATTATAAAATAAATATTCGTCTCTATTTCCTTGTAAATGATACATCGATGCTTATGCTTAACGCTGTTTGAGATTGCTTGCCTTGTAGTGTGTAATGTATAAGTAAATTTCATACACCTTTAATTTTATCATGATACATACTGTTTATTTATATTGTGATTCAAAGAAATTATTATTAAATATTACACTTAGTATTTAAATGCATATTTTTATTTTATTTTATGCAATATTTCTGATTATAATAACTGAAAATATGTCAAATACAATATAATTGTATTCATGTACTAAATGTGTGTTGTGAATAAAGTTTAAGATACTTCTAGAATAAATGTATTAAAAATTATATATATTTTATTTCTATCCATTTTTATTATGATTTTGCATTTTGCTGTAGTGTTATAACTGTGAGGACGTGTTATAACTTTTGTACTATGGCGCAATTTTCATCGCATTTTTTTGTAACGCGTAAAATTACACAAATTATAGAATTTATGTGAAGAATTTGCGAGCTTATAATAATGGTTTTATCAATGTTTGAATAAATTAATGTTAATTAATAGAAATTTTGCGTCTAATAAAGAAAAATAAAGAGTAACTAATTTATGTTGTAATATCCGCATCACCATCATTTTATAAGTTGGTGTATATTTTCCAAACTATTGGAGCGTGGTCAAATAAAACTTTTATCAATTTAACCAATCAGCACTTCAAACGCTGCGGATTTTAAAATACTTTGTGTATTATATAGTTATAGAAAAATATGCAAAAACGACTGCAATATAATGCACATTTTCATCCTGTCTTAATCGAGAATGGATAAGAAAACAATTGAAGGGTCATAATATAAAAAACAAGTACTGATTTTTGAAGTCTAGAAGTCACGAGAGGAGCTTGGTTTTTACAATGATTTGTCCAGTGTCGTCGACTATATAAATTATGTAGTATATAAGATGTAACCATCATTCTTCAACACCCGTCTAGCACCCACCAAACAATTGAGATTATATTTAATCAACAGTGAGTTAATATGATTCAAAAGGTTGTAATAAACTGTGTAGAGTGTGCAGCAAGGATCTATTTAAGAACTCATTATATCGTTAATTCCTATCTTTAATTTTTATCAACACAAGAAATAATTTTAGCTAATATTTCACTTGTATTTACACAAGCAATGAAGATATCTTATTGTGTTGCTATTTATCACCTTGTGAGTTATGTAGGAGCTGAAAATATTTTAAGTTGATTTTTTTACGTCTAATGTAGGTACAATTTAAATTTTTTGAATGTTTCGACTTCATTACAGTCGTCTGAGACTCTCCCCTAAATAAGTAATAATATTCGTATTAAAAATAAAAATTAAATTGCGGCATTATTAGATTGACTGGAATTATTAGTTTTTATTTTTTTTTAAAGTTTAATCATATCCACTATTATAACATTCTACCAAGAAGGGTCATAGTTAAGATGCTTTAAAACTTTTAGGTGTATTATCACTAATATTCTATCTGTTTAATCGTAAATATATTTATACTGAAACATAATTCTAGATTTAATATCATGTTGTCATTCTGGTTGGATTTCATAGTTCATTCGTAGGTATATTCGTATTTTAATTTTTGTTCAAAGGTTCATCACGTATAGTGTCGGTTACGTATTAAAACTGTAGGTTTAATTGCTATGGTTCTTTTGAAAATAATTGATTTAGTATTACCTTGTTTATTAGTCCACGCTTATTCAGCATCACAATTAGATTTTTTAAAATATTTATTTTAAAAATATTTGATTTTTAATAAAATCTTTTTTAGGTATTCATCAATTAATTATTATTTAATATTTCGTCTTACTATTATGAGTACAATGATAGAATATATATTCTAAATTTAGTCTTCTTTTCAAGATTTAATATTTATTTGAAACCTTATAATAAAAAAATCCAACTTTTAATTCATAAATATTATTTACAGCAATTTAATATTAATATTTTTCTGCGCATATTCCCAAATGTAACCTTTTGCTTTTCTTAAAGACAAGGCGTTTTTTCAAGAAATAATGAAATACTATAATACTTATAAGTTACTAATACAAATTGGTCAAGAAGATTAAAGAAATATTTTACTTTAAAGTTTTATCAGTTTCTTCAGGTCGGGGTAGCATGTTATTTCTTTAAGTTATATAACTGATAATTTCCAATAATAATAAAATTATTAAATTTTTAGATCCAAAATAGAAAAATACAAGTAATTCAAAAGTACATATATCATATACTCATACTATGTAAATACTGATCTTGGTATCCAATTGTCTTTGCTATGAAGACCAATAGGTCGAATCTTATTTATGATCTTACTTGAAGGAAGTATAGACAAAACAAGTACCTCTAATATAATTAATTAATTTATAATTAATTTATAAACAATTGATAGAAATAAAGCAGTTGATTAATATATAAAATCGAAAGGTTAATGTGATTCCAATAATATTTATTGATATTGCGGAAAATCAATTTATATAATTAGCTTTAACTTCCAATATATTTTATACCTAATTATCTATTGATTTGGCCTTTTAATGTGATGTTCATTAAGCTACTGCTACAAATAAATCAAATATTTCGACAAATCTCCCATATAAGGATTAAGACTTACATATGCTCGGAAAATTATTGTGAATTAAGAAAAATTATGTATTTTTCCAATTGAGAAGAGGTTAGAATAGGTTATTTTTCTTCAAATTCGATGGTGTTATGAAATTGAAGTCGTCATCAGGAAGTGAATTCAAGGCAATTGTGAAGTATGTAGAGATTTTATCTGACCAAAGACGGTTAATAGAACATATGAATATGTATATATTTGTATATACATATATTTAATATGTGTATTTTAATAAGACATTGGTTTTGTTTTAAATAATGGCAAAATAAAAATCAATGTTCAATGGTAAAAAAATTGTAAATGTAAAATATTAAAAATATATATTTTTTTTTCAAAAACCAGAACTCATCGAATAAAGTTTAAAATTTAAAGAATATATTTCGCGATAATTTATTTTTCATACACCCCCTCATCACAATTAAGCAAAAAAGACTCAAAAAATATTTTACGTAGCTAAAAAATGTTTACCTAATTTTTAAAAATGCCTTTCAAAAAGCGGTGGCGCTTGATTTAATTACTTTCACACTTAATTGCATGAAGAATGAAAGAAAATTTTTTGAAAGAAAATAAAATTACACTAAATGTAATTTTTGTTTATTAGACATTGGAATTAAATATAAATTCTTTAGAATTAATGCTTACAAACCGATTTAAGTGACAAGAGAACATCCAATTATTTTATTGCTTACAGAAATTTTGGACACAAAAGTTTTGGAAAATTTCCTTTAAAATAAATTGGGATTTTTATATCACATATAAAAATTTATAAATACGTTCTTAATGTTTAAAGACAATTCGAGACGAGAGGACAAGTGGTCCATATCTAACGCGCGTTATAATTTAAATAATGCAGACCACCTTTTCTTTTAATTCAACTTAAGGTGACACTTACCTATCAGTAAATATGTAAGTGTGTAACAATACACACACACACACAAAAGTAACACATATAAACAACACGTAATAACAAGTCGGTAAACATATAATACCTCGTTCTACTGACATAGTTTTTTCTAAAGGTTCATAATGGATTGACTATTCGTATTTTAAGAGGTTCGTCATAATTATATGATTCCAATGATGAGTCTTAGGAATTAAAATTTACTATTAATTGGAATGAGGAGATTTTAACGTGGAGACACTCTTACAGTGACCTCGCTTCTGTAAAGGTCAGAGAGTGGCCTTTGGTGGATACAAATTTATTCACGCCTCGTTCGAATGTCTGTGTGCTCTTAAATCCCGACGATGGCTCTTCAAAGAGGCTGCGTATTATTGAACTGTTCGATAAGAATAATATGAAAAAAAACCTATTTACACCTTTGTAATATATATTATAAAAGTTAAAATACTTTGTGTTAAGCAGGGAGTTACAGTATCGTATGATTCTGTAATATGATAATTAATCTTAACTAATTAAGAATGAAGTTAAAATTACATACAAACTTAAAAAAGATTATTAAATGCTAAATGATGAGTTAAATAAATGGAATGCTTTCAGAATAACTCCCTCTCATCTACGTTTCAACTATTTCACAATTTATCCCGATAACCTCAATTATTCAGAAATTTTTGTTAAATATTCTTAATTTTCCAAGGATTCATATATTTTTTTAATTAATAGTGATTTACATTTTATACTATAATTAACTTTAAAGGGTCTTTTAACATATATCTATCGATTGAGGGCGTCAAGACGATTAAAATGATTTGTCACCAAAATAGGAACGTATTATTAAAAAATGATCTGATTACTATGTAGTCGGTAGAAAAAAGAAATCTTTTGAATGAATTTCTTAAGAAGATTCATATTCATATTTATATAACTGTACACATCCTTCAAAATATTTTTCAAATAACATTAATTATTATTGTTATACATTAAGATCTTGGAGGTGATGAAAATTTATTGTTTTCGAAATAAAATTTTAACTCAATGCGTTTGTTTTTTGTTTATATATTAATAACTTGCTTTCGCTAATGCTATGTACTATTTCTCTCCATATAAATAATATTATATTAAAATCTGTCCTGTGGTTTGATCTCTCTCTATCAGATGGATTGATAGACAGTTATAGGAGTCATTGTAATAGTTTTGATTTCTATGTTTCTTTATTTATATTATTAGGGATCACTCTATGATGTCTACTGATATCGAACTGATTAAAA